GCTATGTTGCTACAGCTAGTCTATCCATAATCGATTCTTCACTTAAAATACAAGTGCTGCTGCCAACAATTTTGCATGTGCCGCTATGAGCGCGTTGGAGGCTCTTATAGAGAAAGATTGCGCGCCGCGTCACCCGCTTGCGTCGATTCGAAATCTATTTCAAACGCACAACAAGTCTACCGAGTTTCCTGGATATCATTGAAAGGGGCCACATACAGGTGAAAGGCTGTTGCCAGCGTATAATTTAGAGTCTACACACAGTTTGTTCTTTGCCTATAGAAAAGAAAGCCTCCATTTCAACACGTATTTGAAAGGTGGCTGACACAAACATCGTGATAGCAATGCTTTGTAATCAATTCGGAATGTCAGTTTAAAAGTTCCAACAAACAAACAAACAAACACACACACACACACACACACAGATGACACACACACACACTACCTGATGAACTAAGGTGAGGTAAATAGACATATCAGTCATTTTGTTGTTAGAAGCACATGCGTCAGTCAGTTGATTAAAAAAATGGGGCGACTGTCAGTGATGACGAAGCATACAGGTAAAAACGAAACGTAAAAAGTAAAAACATTAAGCGAAAAAAGACAGATATAATTTTACTTAAATATATTGTGTACTGTTGAACAGCTGGTAGAGACAGCGAAAAGCAAACGAAAGGTGGGGAGGTAATGAACGAAAAGTCAAAGCTGCTGCGGAAGACAGCCAATATATTCTTTATATATCGCATTGCATGACCGCAACAGGTGCTTTTATGAGACTAAAGGAAAAAAAAGCGCTCGTACTTGTGTTGTTATTTTGAACGAATTAATCGACGACCGATCTCTTTTGTGTGGAAGGTAGAGACTCGGCAAAGGCCGCTTTCGGGGCGGTACAAACCGCAGAGACGCTTTGAATATAGTCGTCTTCGTGAATTCCCACGAACGACGAGTGAGAAGGAAAAGGAAGCTCGGTTTACGGCACAGCTGGACGTGAGGGAGAAGCTGCTTTGAGAAGGGCTGCTCCAAAGTGAGTGCAGGCAAAACATTTGTTCTCTCGAAACTAGAGGTCTCCAGTGGAGGCCGGCTTCCTACTGATACGCGTACATTTGATTCAATTTTATATTGTCGTCGTGCGAAACAGATGGAGGGGTTGCATATAGATGCTGCTTGCATATAGAACAGCTTAACGAGTCTACCAATCCAATGTTCATTAGGTAGGTGATTGCAGAGCTTATACAGTTGAAAACAACAAGGTAAATACACAAGAAAAAAACACAAAATGATACACGAAGTAGCGATATGTAGACACAAATAAACTTAAGGCTTGTTATTTAAATGCACAGTGTGAAGTTATTCACGCGAACAGGAAAACAAATTGAGGTCAATGTGAACATAGCTTTTTGGAATGCGTGCATGCGTGGTGGAAAGGGGCAACCGGACGGTGTGAATTCCAACTCTCGACTGACTTAGTTGTTGTCTCTTCACTTTCCACACTTTCCCCGTCATCGCGTAGTGGGGTAGTTGAGTAGACGAGGCGAGAACCAGTTAGGAGAGGAGAACTGCCATGCCATGCCATGAAAGTGCTCTGTTTTAATAGTAAGTCGAGGTACCGGAGATATCGATCTGTTCCTCAACATATCTAGTTGTAACTCCTACTGCTTTTTTCTGAGATAAGCTAATCTGACGAGGGTGGTTCATCATCATCATCATCATCATCGTCGTCGTCGTCATCATCATCATCATCATCATTATCATCATCATCGCCTTGAAAGCGCCCACTGCTGGGTAAAAGTTTTTCTCATATTTCACAAACAAACCTCACGTGCTTGCTGCGGCTACGTTATTCCCGCGAACTGCTTAACCTCACGTCCACGCCTAGCTTTCTGCCCACTGGCAAGTTTTTTTCACCGCGAGAACGTAGACAAAAAGTACATAGTAGATAGAAAAAGCGGCAATCGAGGACTCACCTGTTTTGATACCGATACATTGATTATGCTTGCCTTCAGAATGTACATGTCGGCACTCCTTGTCTATTCTGTCCTATTTTTCCCATGTTTCCGCGCTGAGAAAACTTGCCAGTATGACTACACACCAACTAGCCCAAGCTTCCACTGTTGTAAATTAGATTTATGCCCACCATTTGTGCGCTTGCCTTCTCTTCTAACACAGAATGCGAGGGTGATGAGAATGGAAAGAAGGAAGGAAGAGGGTAAAGCCAGTTATATTAGTTTTCATTTTCTAATTTAATGCTGATACTTAGGCAGAAGATAGATGGATGGAGACCAGTGAGGAGAAATTTATGAGAGAACATAAACTAGCCCTCGCTAACTTGATCTGTGCGCAATAATTTTTTTATTATCTTACATGGAAACATACGCATACGGCAAAATAGGGCGGACATCTGACATCGCGTGATAAAACCATGACAGAAAAGGAAGGAAGAAAAAGCGCGATTGGTTTGTCGACTTTGTCGCAGCCATTCGAAGAGCGAGGCAAAAACTACCTGGAACGTACACGTCCGACCCGCTGACTGAAAACGGCGTCGGACATGTTTATGCCGTTACCATGGTTACGTCGTACAGCTACAAAATATCTGCTGCATCGTCGTCATCGTACTTCGACTTACTTGGAACTGTGACGTTCCCGTGTGTACAGTTTTCAACGGACGAAACGCGATAGTGCGAGAGCGCGTCGTCAAATAGATTCTGAGACCGATTTTGGCGCGCTGGGAGTCGTGTGTTCATATATATATACATCTCTTCCGCGTCGTTGAAAAGTATACCTCGAATCGACATAAAGGAAAAGCGATATGTTGTTTAGAAGTCGTTGGCGCTTCGATATGCTCCTCCTCCTACTTCTTGTCAGTTATCGTAGAATTAGTGAATATCACAGCAATGAAAAAATAATACAAAAAGTAGTACTGCAACTAGGGACAGTTCATGTAAGTCAGTCAAGCCATAACAAACAACTTAAGCACAGAGTCTATTCATACAGCAACACGAAAAGCAGAACAAAATGCATTTTAGTCACGTAACGTTATATATAACATGAAATGTAGTAAACATAACGCTGCGTTATGTGTATCGTTATTTTCAACCTCGAGTCTATATTTTAGCATACTTGTGTTTCAATCGCTGCGACCGCATATGCACGGGCTTGTGTCCGCGCTTCTAAGCGTTAGCATGCATGTGAACCGTGAATTCACACGCTCTTTCATTAAGGCGAAAGCTTTATATGCCACATCAAACGCGAAATTTGATCGTCGGTGTTCGGCGTCAGCGACGCCTTGCGTCCCGATGCACCGGGGACGAATGATGCAAAAATAATCATCATGAAACGACGTCACAGATCACGAATATTTGAGTTTTCAATATGCCGTCACAGTGACGTAACGTAATGTCATACAATGGTGTCATCCCATCGCGCCATAAGTTAGTCAATGGTGGTCCGATCACAGAGGCAATGCAAAACCAGGTGAGGTGCATCCGCTCTTGGAGGCAATCAAAGCCACTTTAGGTGGAGAAAGCCCTCGAAGGGCAGCGAGGCAGCATTAATGCATCTAGGGAGCGGTCATATAGGCTCCCTAAATACATCAATGGAGAGGGAAAGAAACGTGGCTTTAGCCTTCGAGCCGTATTAAATAAATGCATCAGGAACGCTGTGATTTTTTTTTCTTGGGTTTCTGTTCAGATGAAGAAAAAAATGTCCTTAGGCGAGCCGTATTTAGAGCAAACAAGGTAAGCGAGATATGCAGAAAGGTTATCCATGTTGTTTGGGTGGGTCGAAAAATGTTTCCCTTGAAGAGCGGAAGTGATTGCATAAGTCATAACTTGGACACCGTGAAAAGCAAAAGCCTTTTTCGCGAAAGCGGCGTTATTAAATATAAACGACGCCGTTTCCGCGGTACACGGAAAGTACGCGCGCTCAGATGAATTTATTATTTGTCACGGCCAACTGTACGTACACCCTAATCATGGGTCATAAGCACGGCTGACGCTCTTCCTGACATGAGTGCAGAAACCGCTCTGGCTATTCCTTAATTAATCTGCATTCCAAAGTGTCCGAGATGTACTGCCGAAGGGAAGGAGAACACGCGAATGTAGAAATTCGTGCTCCAACTTAATCTGGCAACTCGGAGTTGCGTTAACTGCAAGTTTCGTTCTTTTGATGGGTCGCAGATGTTTTTGTTCTGGAAATCATTTTTTATATCCACCGCAAACAAACAAACAAACAAACAAACAAACAAACAAACAAACAAACAAACAAACAAACAAACAAACAAACAAACCAATAAGCATTCTAAAGAGTGTTCTGTGGGATGCACCTAATGCTGCATTCCTGGCGCTGCGTGTCGCCGCTGTTCGTAATGCGTCTGCTCGTGCGTTGTAAATGCTGCTAAAGCAGGCTTCACCACTATACTAATCACTATGTGGGTAAGCTTGCTTCGGCGCAGTCCTTCCTTTGGAGACATCTGACAATGCGTGATCTATAATTGTATGTAGCTTGTAACAGAGAACACTTGGCGTACGAAGCACAATGGAGGACTCTGACTCGACAAAAAGCTGGCGGGCACTGACCTAGTGGTGAGCATCGGCCTAGTTTTCTGCATTGGTATGCTTTAGGTTCGTATACGTGAAGTAAAAAAAAAAATCAAGAACACATTTTGGTTTGTTCATGGTGTACTCATTTCCGGGATAGGTGCTCGGCCTAGTACCGAGCCGCATGACTTTTTGTACCGTAAGAGAACTTGTTGTTGGGCTAGTTGGTAGAGCATTTCGAAAAGTTAATTCGAGCGCGAAAACTTGAAACGATCACTCACACACGCACACACCCATGCATCAAACACACACCCATGCATGTGTGTTTGATGCATGGGTGTGTGCGTGTGTGAGTGATCGTTTCAAGTTTTCGCGCTCGAATTAACTTTTCGAAATTTTTGTATCGAGCCGCATATCGAGCCACATTTTACGGCTTTCTTTAATTTGTTATTATTATTGTCCCTTCAGATCTCGTGCAACAGACGGAGCAGAGGCGGCGGAGCCATGACCGTGAAGCGAGGTCGCGACATCGACTGGGCCCGTTTCGGCCTGCGCAGCGATGGCGCCGACGGGGGAGCCTCCGACGAACCGACAGGACACGGCGGCCGAGCCTCCGGTAACCCCGGCGGCGACGAGCTTTTCCACCAAGACCTCGTAAGCGAACACCATCGACCACCTTAAAGGGACACGTAACTTATGAATACCAACCCAGTTTAGATCTATTCTCATCCATATCTATAGGAAAAAACGTTTGTTATTAAGGTCTAACGGGGTACCGTTCTCTAATTTTGCAATAGGACACATGCGCGAGGATTTAGGCACAGCCACTCGATCTCCACTCTTATAAGAGAGGAATCGAGCAGCCATAGTTTAAAAATAAGCGCCAGGGATTAGGACAGACAGGGAAAAGAAAATTACAAATAAAAGTCAGCTATCCCAAACGATTACTCATGCTTCCAGGTTACATCGCGTCGGCACGTAAGTGTGGCGTCAGGAAATTCAATAGAATTCCTCAAAGTTGAGTTTCTTTCAAACACGCAATGTTCTGTGAACATACAAAGTAGACCTTTTTTATTTATATTAGGCAAAATATGGGAAGAGAGGCAAGGTTAGAGCCGGCTATCTAAACATCATGACAGTTATAAACAAGATAAATAAAAAAAATACGAAAAGTTAAGAATAAAAGAAGAACAATATAATCGGAGGCACTATGTGCTTATATACACTATATGTATAGGGCTTATAGCATGAATGAGCTTAATATATATGGGCACAGTCCAGTTCATATATCGTGATCACATTGCGGATAGAGCCCGTAAGAATAGTGGCAAGGCATAACAAGACCCAAAGACAGTTAATTAAATTTGTGTCGATTAAAAATTCACCCATGGCTCACTGCGCGCCTTTGATTATCGAAATGTGGCCACGGTCCAAATACTTTTTCCAATCGTAAATGGTCGTCTGTCGAGTCGGTTCAAGCGATCACTAAGTTCAGCGCGTTGTTCATCATATTGCGGACATTCTATAAGGACACGTTCCTCTGACGCATCGACATGATCACTGCGGTCGTCATGCGGGGATGGCTCTTTTTTTTTATGCGGCGTAAGAAGTGAGGTGTGTATGCAACAGCTAATCATAGACGGCACAGTAGTGTGTCAAATCGTCTATCAATCTTTTGATTAGGTGTAAATCGGAGAGACGAATCTACTTGATATAAGAGTGAAGATTTCGTATTTTCGCCAAACCAAACGTCCTCGCATAATTTTTGGCGCAGATCGGAAAGCGCTTTCTTGCTTCTTGAGAAATAAACAGGCACTGGTACCAAGTGAACTTTTTTCGTGCGCTGCAGAGGCTAATTTGTCAGCAATATCATTTCCTATCACTCTTAAGTGACTTGGAAGCCACTGAAAACATACCTCGTAGCCGCCAAGATAACCAATAATAAATATTTTTTAAGATTAATTATATTATGCTATCATCTATATGAAAATGAAAATCCTTAATTCTTTGTAGTACTACTTTGGAGTCAATATATTACTTAGTTTTGCCTTTGCTGACTTTCAAAACATTCGAGTTTTGAAGCTTATAATACTGCAACAAGCTCCGCGGCTGCAGACGATGTCTTCCGAGGAAGTCGAAACTTTTTTCTATTTTATATGCCGGTATATGAAAAGCCGCAGTCGAACTTTCATTTATTGTAGATCCAATGTAAAGTCTGTGCTACCACTCTTCATTGACAAACAGACATGCATACTCAAGTATCCTTCGCTAATTTTATGAGTTTTTCATGTGCAGGAGTCTGTAAAAAATGGTATGTGTGAGTAGGCACGAAACGTGCCCTTATTGGTAAAGTAATGATGGCGCTAACCATCATTCGCAAAGCACTTTAACTGAATATGTTTAGATAACTTGCAAGAGCTGCACTTGCCCTGCCATGTTATTCCCTTTGACATGATGCTACATGAGCTGTGGTTCTTCGTGGCACCCTTGTCGCAGAGTGCCAAGGCAAAGCCCTGGTGGTCGGCCAACTTTTTCGTCTCGGAGCCCGTGCTGTTCGGCACTTGGGACGGCGTCTTCACCACGTGCATGATCCACCTGTTCGGCGTTATCGTCTTTCTGCGCTCCGGGTGGATAGTGGTGCGTGTTACTACGTACTTTATTATTATTATTATTGCGACATGGACGTGCCCTTAAGGCGCAATATTTTGTGTGTGTATATGTATTAGATGTGCGCCGTCAGGCCGGTGTTGCGAGTGAAGTGAAGCAGTGTCTTGTGGTATCTCTTTATCATGTATCCAGCGGTCATAACGGAGAGGGCAGGCTTGCACGAGGTGACGGGAATGTCCCAACTGTAACACCTGGCATGTCCATATACGATGGGATACATCTGCTTGTATCACTGGAACAAAGCAGTACGGAGACGTAGCGCCTATAGTGGTTAACGCGACCATTTACACACACTGAGGGAACAGCCGTTGAAAGGGGCAGCCCTGTTTGAAGACTCCAAAGCACGACTTCCTCCAACCTAAAATAAGTTGAAGCCGGGGAGAGGCAGCAGACACATGGTGGGATATAAACGCGTGTACCCTGCCGGAGAAGGCTTTCACGGGCTCCGAGTGAGTTGCGGGCTTCAGGTGCGAGAAAAATGGATGGAAGATCTGTATTATAGAGTGGATCTACATATTAGAGTGGACGACGACTACGATTTCCAAGAACGTGTTTCGAGAGAGCTGCCAACTCGCCGATTCTAATTAAAGGGACCCTCTATATTAAATATTCTATTAAAGGGACCCTCTATGAAATGCTGGTGTATTTCGGACCAAAAAGTGCAAAAGGTTGGGAGAACACAGGAAGAAGAAAGGTCCTTGAAGAACTATCCTTCGTCCGGTGTTCGCGCTGTTTTTCGCACTTTTCAATAGAGTAAACACAAGTCCGCCCTTCGCCGCTTATCCAAATCACGTACCAAACGCGATGTGACACGCGCCATATATAGTCGGAGACTTTGGATGAATTTAGCACTAAACCGAAGTGCGCGATAGTTTTTGCATTGTGTTGTGTCCCCATGGCAATGCCACCGCCTGGAATTGAACTCGCGCCCTTGTGCTCGACAACGAAATATTGTAGCACTTGACTATAAGCTATAGTAACCGCGAATCACGCGCGAAGCGGCTTGTTTCGGTGCAGCGTGTCGCCTTGCGACGTGCGCAGGGCAACGCGGGCGTGGATCATGCTCTGCTCATGGTGCTGGCCACGGTGGTCGTGTGCAGCCTGGCAGTGTTGGCCGGCATCGGCATCTGCGAGCGCTGTCATCTCGAGTCCGGCGGCCTGCACGTGCTCCTCTCGCACATCCTGGGCGTGCGCGTGGGCGGCGCCGCTGCACTCATCTACTGCTTCGGCCAGGTAGCGAGGGGGATCTGCGTTTCATATTTATGCTTTCTTTCTTTTTCATTATTTACTTCACTTCCCTTTGGATTATTTCACTACGCGGAGTAGCGTGCCAGTGTTTATATACGCGCCGGCGATAATCAGTGCTGATCATTTTAGGGAGTCGGGCTGTTGCTGTCGTCGTCGCTTGGCGTAGTGCTTCTTGAGAGAGCGCGCGCTCAAGCCAGGAAGTATTACTCCGGTTGTTCTTCGAGCACCTTGATTGTGATCCCTTATCATCAGCAAAAAAAAAAAATATCTAGTGCGCTTGACGTGACGCAGGCAGAACCACGTAAAACAAGAGGAAAGCAAGCGCAAAATACAAAGAAAGAGATAGTGGAAAAAATAAGAAGAAAAAATAAAATAACCAAGAAAAAGAAAGAACTAGACAGAGAGGGAAAAATAAATAGATAGAGCCAAGAAACAGAAAATAAAGAGAAAAGAGAAAAAGAATAGAAACCAGGTCCAGCTCCGCACTCCCTTCAGGCTTGGCGCCGCGAGTGCCGCCTCAATTTCTTTACCCCCCGTCTCTCTCCTTCACAACGAAATACCTTTTAAAAGGCGTGCCGCACGCCTTCTTCTTCCAGCAGTATTCGCGAGTACTCGCATGTGAGCAAGAGCGTTTTCCACATCGTTGATGATTTCCCCGGGAAATTATTCCGTAGAAGGGGTGCGTTGGTGCGTTTTAACAACGCTGTATGTGGGCATTCTCGCCTAACTTACTTATATTGGCGCAGGCGGTGAGCAGTGCGCTGCACGTGATGGGTTTCGCCGAGTCCATGGGCCAGCTGCTCAAGATGGAGGAAGACCCGTGGCTCCAGCGGGGTATCGCTTCGGCACTTGTTCTCCTGCTGCTCGGTACGCTATCATCATCATCATCTTAACTACACCCACTGCATGACAAAGGCCTCTCCCATGTTCCGCCAGTCAACTCGGTCTTGTGTTTGCTGCTGCCACTTTATGCCCGCAAACTTGCTAATCTCCTTCGCCCACCTAAATTTCTGTCTCCCCTTTACCCGCTTGCCTTCTCTTGGAATCCAGTCTTAAATGAACAGCGGTTATCTTCCCTTCCCGCTACGTACCCTGCCCATGACGCTATTACACAGTGTACTCCTCACTATATACTCACACATCTTCTCAATATGCATACCATTAGATGAAGCCACCAAAACCTTGGAAACAATGCCGGAAAACCCGATCATATTTAACTGATGACTCCCTCATACGAACTACACTTTCGCTTTCAATTCCAGCGTCAACGCACACAATGCTTATTCGCTGTTCTGCAACGTTTGTCAAATCTTCGTGTAATGTAAAGTTTCTGGAAAATTATTTACGCTGCCCGACTTTGTCGATATTTTTATTTACGGCGTCATGGCGACGCAGATGGCGTCATAGGGATGAAAAATTATCTTTTCGCCCACTTTAATTTTAAGTTTTTCAATGATATGAAGTCTACCGCCAATTACATCATGGTCCATAATTACTTCTCCACTACAATAATAAGGGACAACTTATAGGGTGATTTACTTCCCTTGTCAGTTGGTTTTAGTGTAATTAAATATCGGAGCTCTTCAACAGCAGCGATTCTTCTTGCTCCTGTAAGGTCATTTCAATATTCGCACATGCAAACGATGCAAAGTTGTTTTTTGTTTGTTTGTTTGTTTAAACTTGTAGGGAGTAAGGAGAAGTGTTTATTATGCTGTGCACACCGTGCGGGAAATTTTGCTACTTTTCAAATCGGATAAATTTATTAATGTGTCCTGCGAATCGGCGGGATGGGCCTGAACTACAACTCTCCACATTTGTTTTTCCGCCAGGGATCAACGTGGCCGGCGTCAAGTGGGTCGTCCGCCTCCAGTTCGCCCTTCTCATCATCTTGCTCATGGCCGCGCTAGACTTCGCCGTGGGAACGTTCGTCCGCTACGACTCTGGTACAGCTTTCTTCAACTCGAGGAGATATGATGTTATTTTATGAACACCCAACCAAAAAAAAAAAAAAATAACGCATCTCCTCGCAGCTCAGCGAAGGATAAGTCATGAGTAACTACCACAAGCAGGATGTGAGGTTAGTACGTGGGTAGACATTGCCGGGAGACACTGCCCGCTGTCAATACTAACTGAAGCGTCATCGGGGCAATCTAGAGTCGTGAGTAAATGTATCGACTGAATCGAAAAGCGGCCGATGTATATGCGTACTTCGGCATATCAAAACAAATTGATATACAACACTCGCATGAAGTTCGTCTGACTACCTAGGATGAAAGAACTTTGTGTGTATGCTTACAACGATTTGAATGTGTAAGCTTTACAATGGCTGCCCCATTAATTATTTTGGGTAAGGAGAGTGGGGGGGGGGGGGGGCAAGTCAGCTTCATATTTTACTCTGCGGGACCTGGCCTGTCACTTATTTTTAATAATTGAAGAGTATTAATAATTGAAGAGTATTTAATAATTGAAGGCATATTAACGTAAAATATTTTTTTCATGTGGGGGGTCATGCAAATTTTTTTGGACGATAGTAACTGTTAAGCACCCCCCCCCCCCCGTTCCTGTTCGCATATGCTTGCATATGTGCGTGCGCATAGGACTTTTGAGTACCGAGGAAAAGCAGGCCTTGGGAGAGCCGACAATTCGCACGTCATTCGATACACCTGTTCGTGCATGGAACGTGCGCTTTTCAATATGCTGTTTAGAGGTCAAACGCATCCGTTTACTTGAGCCATACTTTCATATAGGATTATTCATACTGTGCGAGTAACATTACGCTTAAATAATAAGTCGAAATATTGATTGGGTTCAATAATCATGAAAGAGAACTTGTAATTCCGCCGTTCGTAGCACGAGGCGACAAACAAAACGCGCACGGATTCCTCGCATGCAACGCTTCTCAATTAGTTCTTCCTCGACCAAAACGAACTTTTCTCAGAAACTCGCATATATTTCTTTTGTAGCTTTCTGTTACGAACGGCTGAATGAAAAGCGATATCTTGCATAATCGCAGAGCACGGCGTGACTGGCTACGACCTGGCGACGCTGAAGAACAACAGCTTGCCTCGGTACGGCGAGGGCCAGAACTGGTTCACCGTGTTCGGCGTCTTCTTCCCGGCCATGACGGGCGTCTTCGCGGGCATCAACATGAGCGACGATCTCAGGAACCCTGTGCAGGACGTGCCCGTGGGCACGATGGCCGCCATCGGAACTTGGTAAGTGCGACGCCTTGCCAGGCAGCACACAACTGAATCGTTTTATGAATGCATCATGAATAATGATTCTGTGTTTATTGGCATTGTATATTTTCATCGCCGTCACACAGCAAGCCGGTGATCTATACATCCGGTGATCAACACCGGATGTATAGTTATAGAGCTAGCTGAACATGTCACAATACTGTCGATGTCTCACGGCCTGGAACGCTGCTATGAGCCTTGGATACTTTTTGCGCTCAAAATTGAGTAACTTCTACGTAACGGATGCCATCCATCTATACAGCCGATCAACATATTTTTCACGTGACGTCGCACACGGGTAAATCTCTCCGCTGGTGGCCCTAAGATGGCGGCAACCGGGACATTTCTTTAGCCGTTCGGTCCTTTGTGCTCTCCCCACTTTCTTCTGTGCGTGAGCTGCACCAAAGGGAGACACAAAGGAACCCGACGGCCACCGGCTCTAAGCTGCCGCCAATAATGTTTGTCACCCTAAAATGGCGGCCACGGTGACGTCATGTTCTCGCAGTCAGGCCCTTAGCCTTCACACGGCTGTGCCTAAACGCGGCTCCTTTTTGAAGACTTCATTGCACGAACAGCGCTTGTGTGTGGAGGTCGCGTCTTCATGGTGCAAACTGTCAGAATGTCGGTTTCCTGCGACTCACGCTCCATGTATACTGTTTTATACAACAATAATACCAGGTTTTCGAAGCACAATAACTTTCTTTTACCTAAAATAATATCGAACTATGGCAGATTTACAACTCGCTTTTATGGTATTCATTTTTGCAATCGCATACCTCTTTATACCAAGTCACCTCGGTCACTGCAATCTTTCAAACAAAACATGAAAAACATTGTTAATGTTCATTTGTAACAAATTTATTTTCATAATCACTTAATTACGTATTGGTATTTTTACCAATACATAATGGATGGATAGATAGATGTATGGATGGATAGATGGATGGATGGATATCTAGATAGATAGAAGGATGGATAGATAGATGATGGATGGATAGATGTATAGATGCATGGATGGATGGATAGATAGATGGATGAATGGATAGTTACATTGATAGATAGATGGATGGATGGATAGATGGGTGGATTAATGGATAGATAGATATATGGTTAGATGAATGGATAGATATATAGATGTATGGATGAATAATGCTGCTTTGATAGATATGTATTTTCTTTTTATTAGTATAGATCGTTTTGATTGCATTTTTTATTTGTTTGCTCTTTTTGCTGCTGTTATTTATGTGCACCACTATTTATAGGAGTTCTTCCTGACAGTCTTGTACTTTGGGACCTCCTAATTGTGTATGTATTTATTAATATGTATTTAACCATTTTCTTTTTTGTAGACGTAACAATAATGAATAAACTTGAACTTGCCAAGGGCTACAGGCTTGCGACATTGAATGAACACAGCACAACATACACACGTGCGAGTTTGAGGAACGTTTGCGCAGTTTGTTCCTGTATCTGGTATTTGTCCTCGGTTTGGGAAGCACGTGCCAGCGCTGGGCTCTCACCACGGACTACCTCATCGCCGAAAAGGCAAGTAACCATTGAGAAATGGCACATAAATAAAAGAAACAAGAAACACGGAAAGATACACAACCCAAATGCGCCCCATCTTCGCAGGCGTCCGCTATCGGCGTCATGGTTCTTTCCGGCCTGTACATCTCTTCCATGTCAGCTTGCCTGGGGGCTCTGTACCTTACGCCTCGCATTCTGCAGAACATGGCAAATGACGGAATCCTACCCTTCAGCAAGCAGCTAAGCATCGGAGTAAGAATTTGCCGGATATATGTATCCGCACACACTCGCGAAGCTTAACTTGTGATGCTCACTGGTAATTTCGGAGTTCATCGGTAACTACAGGGTGGTGTGTTTTTGGCACAAGGATGCAGCTCCATCGTCTGGATGATCACCTGGTTTTCGAACTAGAAGGAAAGTATAAAGAAATGTGACATAATTGACTAATGGCACAACAAAAGTTAAATATTTAGCCAGGAATAATGCAGATGGAATAATCGACCAGCACTAATGTTCCGCAGCTAAGGACATAATCGCACGGCCGCCAGCTGGCTGGTTCATAGATGGCAAGGCGCACAGCAAGTTTTAAGAATGCATCTTGTACGACACGGGCATTTTCGCATGATATCAGTCGAATGTATCAAAGACGCGGGCGCTAGCTGCTCTTACAACGAATGCTTGTGCCTGCTACCGCACCTACAGAAGGGGCCCAACAAAGTTCCTGTGGTGGCGCTGGTGCTGTTCGCACTGGTCACGTTCCTTTTCATCTTGGCGGGCCAAGTGAACACCCTGGCGCCACTGGTCACCATCCCGTTCCTGTTGACGTACGCGTGCGTCGAGTACGCCTACTTCTCCATGGCGATGACGTACGACATCCAACGCCGGCGCAACGAGCGCTTCTGCCACCAGGCGGCCATCATACGGGCGCAGGCTACGGACAAAACCAGCTACGGGGCACTTGGAGACGCCAAGGTGCGACTGCTACAAAGCTTTCGAGACGCTGATTAGGCACATGGTCATTGATGATATATTGCAAGTTTCTCGCCACCAAAGTGTTTCGATAGTTCTAGCTATAGTAGAATTGTGTACACAATCTCTTTGAAACATCGACTTTGGACGGATATTCAGATATGGTGTGAACGTCCACATTAGGCACAGGGCGTTGTGCGACATTTAATTGGCAGGCGTCTGCAAAGTATTCAAACATGCATGTTGAATGCAGTAAATACTATGGTTGATTGAACAATAAGGGATGTTGGATATCATATTGGATCATTGAAAACAACAGAAAATGTTTTATTCTGTGAATACCACAAGAACATTGTTACTATGTCCGGTAGTCATAATGCTTTCTTTCACATAATTAAACCATTTAATGTAAAGCTAACAGGCATTGAAGGGAACTCTCTAGTCTGCTCGTCATGCGTGATGAATCTGCTCTATGAGATATATACACACAGCATGCAATGCACGATATGCACTTCACATATATGTGATTCAATGTGTCATAGTGGCAGCAGTGAACCATCCTCGCGGCAAATGGTATCTTGTGTTGTATTCTGGCTCCCATTCCCACTTCCAAATCTATGCATTGATGGATTGTTTCTTTCGCTCGTGGACAACGCTAATTTCTCACTCACAACTAATTGCACCAAAACTGCACCTCTGTTATTGCATAGCAGCACAGTAAATGGTGATCCTTAAACGCAGGTTCCCACGAGTGACTTGGACCAGCTGTTTCCAGAACGTGTTCACGACAAGACTGTCATACCACGCGACCACAGCAGCGTAAGCACGACAGAATCTCCGGTGACGTCACCAGACGAGCACAGCTCTATAAGGAGTGCAGAGAGTAGAGATTCAAACGTCAACCAAACAAGGGACCAACCGGCATCCGACATTACTGACAATACTCACCTCCTCGCTAAAGGTCAGCTGGCTTGTGTGTATAGCTGTATGGCCATGCTGTAAGGAGCGCTTTGTCTGCGTCACTAGTCTCAGTCCTTGTTATTTTACAATATAAGAGCGACAAGTGCTCAATTAGCTTCCTGTTTTACACTGTGCATTCAACCTGTATGTAAGTAGAAGCACATGCGATTTTATCAAGTTGTGGACACATAATCACCAATGTTACGACTGCTTTGATTTTAGGACGGGGACCATGGCCAGAGATATCGAAGAAGTCAAATACGTGGTATTCGAAACTGTTCAATCGCTGGATCGCTGTGCTTGGGGTAAGTCAATTACCAGACCAGGGCACGTGGTTGCCTAGTCTAAAGCAAAAGCCTGGACAATCTATTGCCCGCTTGTCTTTTTCAGATCTTCGTAAAATTGACGATCATGTTCCTTGTGCAATGGGGTTATGCACTGGCATCCATCTTTTTACTGATCTTCCTCTGGCTTTGCATTGGAAGGATCAAGCCAGGGGCTTTTCCAGGTATGTCAGGCTTCAAGTAACAAGCTCAACAAGAATTGCATTGTGTAGAAGATTGCATATCATAGCAGAAATAAGAAACATGCACATGATTGTGTATCCTCTGTATTCAGCTGCAGTGTCGAGCGCTTTCTCTCTGACAAACATGCAAGTGCATTCACTCTATCAGAAAGAAAGGAAGAGACAAGGCTAACAATCTAACAACACCTCAAATAAATGAAAAAAGCGAGACTAAATGCAGTTTTCTGGGGTTTCCGATATGAATCATCTTTGCATGTTCTTCCTCCACACATTATGGGACATCACGCACATCTTGTTAATATTAGTAATAACAATTTTAGATGCCAAAACCACAACATAATAATGAAAGGTACCATGCAGAGTAACTATAAATTAATTCTGAATACCTGATGCTCATTAGCTGGCATATGTAGATGGGCGTTTTTGTATTTCACTTCTCTGCAATGTTGCCACTGTGGCTGGAAAACGACACGACCAACCACTATGGTTTAGTGGTTACGGTGGTCGACTGCTGACCTGAAGATCGCAGGATTGAATCCCGGCTGTGAAAACTGCACTTTCGATGAAGACAAAAATGCTTGAGGCTCGTGTACTTATATTTGGTACTTATATTTAGGTTCACATTACAGAAGCCCAACCGGTCAAAACTTCCCGAGGCCCCCACTATGGCGCCCCTCAAAATCATATCTTCATATTGGGACACTAAACCCCAACAATAAATAGAACCCACTTTCTCAAACTTATCAGTGCTTACCTGCCAAGCTACTATGCCAGGTTCGCCAACATAATGATACAGTACGATTCACTACAAAATGACATTTCTGTCCTTATAAAAGTAAAAAAAGGAACAATTTTTTGAGACCTGAAGGAAAACTTTATGTTACCATTTAATGAGGCGTTGTATGCATGTCTTCTACTGCAATTCTATATTCAAATGTGTAACATAAATTTCTCGAAAAAATTTTATATCACTGGCACACATATACTAGCACTACGTTCAAAGAGTGTGCACAGACCTACAAGTGTGGTGCAACTGCTTGCAATTCACATTTCAGTCTTTTAATTTGCCTGCTCTTAATGCTATGTCAAAGAGTGCATTACTCTGTTTAGAAGATTCAAGTGCCTCCAAACCAAAAATTGTCATTGAAAGTCGCAATTAATGCATGCAATCAGACAGGCAATTCTGTCTTTGTTATCTGCTTTGAGTTAACTCTATTTTCACTGCTAGATGGATGGTTGAGACTGTCACTGACCCGGCTACTTTTTTTTCCCAGTCTTTTTTTCTGCAGTAAATTATATTTTTCCAGCTCTTGATTTTTTGATAAACTGTATTGCAGTTTCCCATAAACTAATGCATACCATATTAAAAAAGCCTCATGGTGGTTAGCCTTTTCTAGCATAAGTGCCAAAGCTCTGCAGCAAACATCACCCATGGCTGGCCAAGCTTCACGAGCAGACTCTGTGTTTGTTAACCATTTGCAGGAGTCACAGAGTTCAAACTGTTCCCATGGCTACGAAATTTATTCCTGCGTTGCATAGGGTAAGTATAGGATCTTTATTTGCAAAAGGCATCAGGTTTTGAAGATGAAGTTATTGAAACAATCAAAAAAGTTTACATAAATCATTATATGCCTGTGAATAATTATTAAATTTAATGTACTTGACGTACTTGCACACAAATTAAAAAAAATTTGAAGTAATCAAGATGAATGCAAACGTATGTTAGCAAATGCAACACATTTGAAGAAATGTTTTCGCTACAGTGTGGGACTGCCATACAAGCCTGCAAATGGGTGGAGCAGAAAAAGAATCCCTACGACACTAGAAGATGAAAACTGCCTGTGACACCCATGGCTTTGCTATGACTCAGCATGACCTGCTATGAGTCAGCGAGATCCAGCATAATTCACCATGCTTGCTAACGCTGCAGCATAAAGCCTGTTTTAAAGATTAAAAACTGGGGACTATGTCCGGACAACTGCGGGGGAACGATAGCTACAAAAAAAAAAAAAAAAAAAAAAAAAAACAGGCCTATAGTTTAAATTTTATGCAGCGGCTCGGTCTGCTCATAAGAGACAATGTGCTTTTCCTATTATTTTACGTTATATATTTTTGACTGCGCTGCACAACGCATTCCTCGTCTTGAGCAGGCAAGTTGAAGGCCCCTCAATGCCCAACCACTGAACTTTCACACACTGCAGAGGGAATTTGCAGTGATAGCGCAGTTTGAGAAGACCAGGTGCGAAATTTCTCTTGCGAAGTTCTACTGTAAAGTTCTACAAGGTGCATCAGAAACAACTAGTTAAGTTTATTTCTAACAAAAGAAGAAAAAAACAAGTGCTAAATCTGACAATATAACATCAAACGTGAGGCTCAGCTTGACCTAAATTGACGTGCCTGCTTGCGGCTTCACACACAACATACGGCTGCACCTCAAAGATTCATTTACACATATTAAAAGCGAAAATTGCAGTGAAAAATGAACAGTAAGCCTGCGAAGTATTTAAAGGAGCAGTGGCACCAACTTAACGCATGTCGCGTTTTTTGTGTCAACGCACAGTTATCAAGCCCCCAGTAACAATTCGTTACTAATAATGCAACATCGAGATGAAATGATATATGTAATAACAATTCGTATGACCAGTATCGAACTCGATTCAAAACTGGTGCAAAGCCCGCGAATTTTTTACTCTTCCAAGCATTCACCTCTCGTGGTCCCACCCTATCTGATGACGTAAGTTTCAGTTGGCAGTTCATCTGCTCGGCGCACATGCATATAGGCATGTCTTTGCCACCCCACTGTCGTTGCCGCCGTCATTAGCGTCCACAAGCAATGACAAAAACAGTGAAGAATATGGGATAGTGACAATCTGCGGCACGGCGAATCATTTTCAGATCGATCATCTTCCGAGCAGTGATTTTGAAATCGACGCCGGACTGAGCAGCGACGAGGCAGCTGGAGACGCACGCTTGGGTCACGCTGACTGATCAGACATATAAACCCAACGTTCGTCTTACTTGTTCATGACTCCCCAACAAATCACCTGAAGCGGTACAACGAAAATGTAGGATTGACACGAACGCGCTGCCCGTACCAAGAAAAACAAAGCAAGTGAAGCAGGCAGCCAGGCGTTGCTGCAAGATGGTACATGTAGACAGTGCAATGAAAACACTAGAATTGTCAGCGTTATCACTGCTCGCTCATCATCACTCCGCGCCTGAAGCGTGGCCTAGGAGCTAGCTGAACATGTCACAATACTGTCGATGTCTCACGGCCTGGAACGCTCCTATGAGCCTTGGATACTTTTTGCGCTCAAAATTGAATAACTTCTACGTAACGGATGCCATCCATACTACGCTTAAAAAACTTATATCAAGCTATCCAAAGGATGCCACATGTTGAGTTTTAAATTTGGTGTCACTGCTCCTTTAATAGAGCGAGACAGAGATAATGTAGTACAAAAATTGTATTATTTCGTTGCTAGTGATAAAAGTGGCTATTTAGCAATTCGCCATCACGACACTCTGGACATTGTATTATTTCGTTGCTAGTGATAAAAGTGGCTATTTAGCAATTCGCCATCACGGCACTCTGGACATTTCTTTTATACTAACAATGTAATTTGTATCATGTCAATTTATATGATAGTTTCTTCTGTCCTACATTACTTGACTATTGTCCCCCACGTTTAGCCTTACTAAAAATGATGCATTTTATCCGACCATTCATAACTGAATTCAATCGACCTTGAACATGGCACATCACTGGTGTGCATGTGAAAACTTAGCTCAAGGTCTTGTCCAAATACATAAGGATATATCATATTTCTCTGTATCATGGACCAGATATGATTGGATCTGTTGCACATAATACTAATAAAACTAAGTTACTGCTGATTCCATTTTTAAACAAGCTGTCCATTTTTCAATACAAACTGTTCAACTGCAAGATTTTAGAAACTCAACTGTAATGTTCAAAACTCTTAAAAAGATACCGAAATCTGCCCACAACAATACAACGAAAGCTGACAAAACAGATAAGTTATTTGATACATCCTAGTGTAACTCTCATAAACATTATAAATATTGCCGATGACTAAAACAGTGCTTAAGACTGGACAAAAACACCGATATATGCACGCTGTGTCTTTTCATACACGCTTAGCCACTCTTCTATTCGTTTTCTACAACGTGCCAACCAGTTCAATCAAATACATTGCAACTAATTCATGTAAGATGAAACTTAAGATATATTGAATTGGCCCACTTCATGTAGTTTATAGAACGAGGAGTGTAGATTACAGAAACGTGGCATCTGTTCAGGGGCGCGGAGTTGAGAATTTGTAAGTTCACTGGCTGGCAACTTTTTTTTGAGAAAAATCCTTATCACCATATCAAAGTACTGCTTCCCACAATCAATAAAACAAAATTCAGACTACAATAAACTTCAGCTGAATTGGTCAAGAGGTCATTTCATAAGAACATTTGTGCATCTTACCACGTCTGAATAAGAGGAATCCGAATTGTTCTAGGGGTTCCTTTTAATGTGGCTAAGTAAATCTCTACGAGGCTGCCATTTGCACATATATACTGCAGTTATTTTGGCAACAAGCTCAGCTCATGTGAGACTTAACTGCAGTTGGTCATTCAGCAAACTTCATTTTTTCTAGCTACTAATTTATAAAAAAAGATCTGCATGTGTCGAATTCGTATCTGTGTTCTCATGCAGGAAGAAACCCACAGACTATGAACAAATAGTGGTGGCCCCCGCGTGCCCCGGAGTCTCAACGATGGAGTCTCAGCTGAACGACGAAAATGTAGATTACGCGTCGCGACACCGATACCATCATTCTACCACCCTCCAAACATCATCACATTTTCAGCAACATTCCGACGACAGCGAATGAGCCGTGAGCATCCCAGGTGCTGCATAGTGCCTGAAGTGGCTGTTTTGAAGGGCTTGTTCATGTTGAAACCATTTTGCCAATCCTCCTTAATGGGCAAGATCACAATTAATTGAAGTGTGGTTTTCGTTGATTCTCCAAGGTTACAAATGTTCAAGCTCAATTATGAAGGCATTTCATGTGTGATAACCGCAAGAGGGTCCACAAGTGAAACCAAATGGCTGAAATGCTGTTGGTAGCATGCTCCAACTACAACTGAAAGAGGAGCCAACATTTCACAATACCATCTAACTTCGAGCTTCGATAGGCATTGCTGTCCACTTGCCCTAGAATGACTGGCAATCAAAATAGCAAACTATCCACAACAATTGCGATCAGAGTTTTATGCCTTGCCTTTTGAAATCTACTGACTGTATCAGTGCACATTGTTATTATTAAATCTACTACATGCCACTGTATACAAGTGGCGTACCATTAAAAGACAAAGCAAAGACCGAGTTAGGTAAGTGTCTTGTGCACTTAATGCACTTGTGCTCCATGCTCTGCCTTTAAAGCACAAAATTCGCCACCATGACAGCTTACATTTCAGCCATGTTTCAGCTAGTTGGAGAAATGCCAGAAGAGTTTTGCACGTCCTTCCATAGGCCTACTTGTAGAATGTCCTAGTGATTTGTTAACCTGTTGGGTGCTTCTTTACTGCTGCATGACCAACCAAGACAGCACAAGGTAATCTGTGCATTCATACCACTGTGAAACACCTTCTTACCTCTTTACCAAAACAAAAGCAAAGCTTTTCCAGGGATATTTGTGATATACAAACTCATCACTTGTTCCAAAGCAATGTAACCTATTTTCCTAACTATTTGCGAAATGCAAGCTTAACTGCTGTGCTATGACGTGCGTGATGCGCACTGCTTCGTGACATGCACCCAAATGGGACAATCGAGACTAAAGCTACTTTTAATGTGCTCCCCTCGCACCGTGTTTATTCAAATTTCTCAACCGTACATAGATACAAAACAGACTTAATGCGCCAACAAAGAACAAGCAACAATTTGTTTTTGTGCATGTAATGCCTGCAGCTAAAAAGAAAAATATACAACATTCAAAGTGGCATTCAAGGCAGCATTTTGGTAATGCAGACAGTACTTCTACCCGTGTACAATGCACCTCAGGGCCCACAACGTGTCAAAGTGTGTGTGCGTTTGATGTATGTTACTGAAATGGGACAGTCCACTCCTAATGTGCAAATGACAATGGCTTTGTGTGAGAAAACAACAAAAAGGTGATATGTTGAATAAATTATGTTTACGTTGTCATTTGTATGGAAGAGTTGAATTCTTTGGCATCAAAGGGGGCAAACGACTAACACATAGAACACAAAAGGCTGGAGCACAACTAGGCAACACCAACAAAACTACAATGTGAAACGTTACATACTTCACGTTTCAAAACCACACAGCTTGTCCCTTGCATATTTACTGATTTTGCAACGTGCTACCTGCAGTATGTCAATGCTACATAAACCAACAGACGGCAGAAAATAAAATATTAATGCCTTAGTGACTTCCACAAGTTAACAATGACCACATGGCTTTTATGACGTGTGCTATCACCAATCTCAGGAATTGTGTTCCAGGCATTAATGTTCAACAGTACTTGAACTGGTTAACTCTTTCACAATAACAGGCTGACTGCACTTAATTGAGTGCTCTATCTCTTGACTTCCAGCCAATTGGAAAAAAGCAGAATATACGTTAGAGGTACTCCATGTCATTGGGAGCATCAAGGTCTCTGTAGGTGATGAGTGCTCTCGGTTCTCCACGTAGACCTCTGAAATAGAAACATGTGCATGTCAAACATTCCTTTCCATCAGCCACCTTCCAACAATGAAGCCGGGGGGCGAGAAGGGAGGCAAGGAATGTGGTATTCGTGGACCAGTAAAGCATCCTTAGTAACTAGCATTCCAATTAAAAATGCCAGTAGCTGAAATCCTTACCATATTATTACAAAGTGCTGGTAACCACTAAATTACATATTATATACTTGAACTACGGTACTACGAAGAATTAAAATAATTATTCTGAATTATAAGTCCAAATTATAAAGAAAATGAGAAAAGTTGAAGAAATTGGCTAAGATAATTGGAATCCAGACTGGGTGTGGAATGTGCCTTTTCTGCTGGCTTGCACTAGAAAATTAAGCCCCTGATCAACGCCTCCTCTATTTTATCAATGCCAGCCAGATGCACCCGATCCAGTCGTTTACCACCCGCACCTTTAGCCCTTTCCTACTTTCTCCCATCGCCTAGCCTTCGCCTGCGCTTTGTGGTTATGGGGGAAAGAACCCCTTATGCAGTGCCTCACGACGGAAGTCATATGAATTTTTTGTTAAGTTGTGTACAGATCCGAGGGGTGGCGTCTTGCATCCCTCGTGTTCACAATAATGGCGGTCACACTGGCTCTGTGGAAGATACAGTGTTTTGAGGTAGTGTGTCGCTGTTCATGGCGCTATGCGGGCAACCAATGCAGGAGCACATCGAGGCACCCTAACCAATGAGGAGGCGTCACTGCACGCTTCTGCATGCGCTGCTCAGTGACACGGCGGTGGCATTGCTTCGAACCACAAAGCAGCAGCACGAAGGGACAAATCTGACACACGTAGGTTATTGTAGTAGAAAACACGTCTATCGCATTTCCAGGGGAAAGCGCTCGGAAGCACCTGTGACGCAAGCAGCGCTACCTATCATGTAGTGCCGCATAACGACCACTGCCTGAATTAAGGCAAACCGACGGCTCCCGTTGAGAAGAGCGCGTTTGCACTGGCACTGAAAGAAATAAAGGAGGCGTTGCGCTGACAAAGGATTACATTGCACTTGCCACCTGCATTATGAGAATCAGGATCATTCTCAATTGCCACCCTCCAGTTCACTGTTAACAAGATAGCCTTGCTAGAGCTTGTTGCACCAGCCACCATCACATCTGCCAGATTTTTGAAGGTCTTTTCGTGTTTGTTTCTCTGAGGGGCTCATTTAGAAATGAACATGACCTGCACACGTCTTGCTTCCCAAACATTACACAATCGTGGATAAGTTTCTACGCACGTCCTTTCCAGAGTTCCAAGCCCCACAATTTGACCTTCAACTGCATGTGCCATGAACTGCCTTCTTTTCAAAACGGTGCAATATTGATGTGATACATGAGCAAATGGTAAGAAAAACAAGGGGTTAGAATCACTGAACAGTTAGAGAGTTGGGCTGCTGCTTCAGTATGCATATCAAGCGATATTTGCACAACTCGGGTCAAAGACTGCAACTATTTGTTTCATCATGCGATCTGACCACGTTAGTGTCTAACTCTTGAGCATGAGCAGACTATCGCTGTGGATAAACAGTCAGTCTGCATCCCTAAAAGCAAAGTGAGGAATCATTCAAGCTGGCAAGAAATGCGAACTGAAGAAGGTTGCTTTGCATTCTTGGAGTAGGAGCAGCAACCAGCACAGAGTGTAGTCAGCCAAGTGGAAAGAAAGGTGAGTTTGTGGAGAGTCTCAGTTCTTTTTATTGACAGTGAGAATTGACATTTCATAGTGTGATTGACAGTAGCAAGCACAGGCAGACTTTCAATAACAGAACTAAGAACCCTGGTTTTCATAAAAGTTTCATGACATACAAATGTGGAAGGGCTAAAAAAAGTGGGTGGAGAAACTCATCCGCAACGTGATGCCACACTGCCAACTGTCAAATGAGATGAAGTTATTACACTGAATTCCGCAAACCATGTCTCTAAAAAAAAAAAATGTGTATGATGTCGTCAGAGAGAAATCTGCCGCTATGCAGCATCTCTCTAGCCTTATCTCTGTTTAAAAGAGTTCCAAGTCCTGTGGCTCATCGAGATCATGATATCCAATCACTTCCCGGGGGTCTGAGCGGAAGCTGAAAAAAAGAAACCGAAAACGGGTGCATCTTTTCTGGCTTTGCACTGTCCGGCTCACGATTTCGTTATGACGAACTCTGTCACAACACAAGCAGCACAAGAGCGTAACCGCAACTTGAGGTGTGTTCTGTGGCTGCTGAGGACGTGCTGAACAAGAGCTGAGCAGAGATCTTAAAACGACTTCGCTTTTCAGCACAGTGCTTTAGATTCCTTTTATAGGTGCGTACAAAGTGCACATAATGTTTATTTAAGAGTTTGTTCAGAGCTATGTAGTGCAGTCCACTTATAGCAATTATAAAAAAAAAGTGTAAAAATCTCTTTAACCACTCTAAATGAAATCTGGGCTCGCTGTAATACAAATTCTGAAGCTAGGTCTTGTAGCTCTGTAGCTGAAGACACATCAGAAAAGTGAAGCAGGAATTGCGAGCTGCCAGCAAGAAAAAAAAATGTTGATCAGATATTTATTTCTAAGAGGAAGGTGCTTGAAGAAACCATAGCAAGTAAAACTAAAACAGCGAAAAAACAACAAAAACAGAAGAAGCTGTATAGTTATGAGGACATGATAGTGGAAGGCATGATATAGAAAAAAAAACTGTAGCACCAATCACACTGCAGGTAGTTGTACCATAGGCGTGCAATGTCTTTCCCGATAAAAAATAATCACTATTCATTCTAAGTGGACTGCACTGGTTTGGAGGTTTATTTCAACCTTTCAAAAGGCAAATACTGATTCTCGGTACTGCTGGCAAGCATTCCTCTACAGCAGAAAACCACTGAGAACACAATGCAGGCATGATTTCAACATGACCGAAGTTTATCTTCTAAACATGTTTTGCAAATTCAATGACCAGGGCTCATTTTGGCCCAATTAGGAAATGGCAACATTACTTTGTTAATACTTCAAAACACTGACCAGTGAGAACGACGCACTGAAAATAATTCTGCCATATGTTTCATGGAGTTTTTGCTCGAATGAATGCCCTCTATACTCAAAAAGCACTACTAAGAAGAGAATACAACATAATCGAGGTGATATTATCATGGCTCGTAAGAATTTCAGGATCATGTTGATAAATAATTTTCTATGGTACCTGCCAAGGCCTATTCACCAACAGTGTGATAGAGAATGGCTGTTGCAATAGATTTTCACCATGCAATGCTTGACATGAACATAAGCTGCCTTGCAGATGCGAACATGTGCTGCCCGTGCAGCCATAGAAACCACTGCACTCATGCATAGATGATACGACTGCCTCATACAAATATTTTTCATGGCCGCACAAGTTTGTATCGAGAAGCTACTGCACACAGTCAGCTGCCGATTTTTCAGACTCCCTAGGGAACGCAAAATTGACTAAAGACTTGGCAGCCCCCCAAAAAATCATGCTTCATGCTGTTTAATTCCACCCAAGTGGTCAACGCCGCCCAAGACTGAAATAGCTTCAAAGGCTCCCAGTAGACTTGTCAGACATTTTTGCGAGCGCCCAGGCTCTTGTGAAATGTTATATACCGTACAGGCCGCGAACCTTGCTGAACTATTGTGATGAGTGCCGCCGATATCAACAAAGCGTGGATTAAGTTATGGCTCTTTCACATAGGACATTTGGAAAAGAAGACTCAGAATCCAGAGGCTGTGGCGGAAGAGTGGATCGTCCCGACTTTCCCCGATTCGTGTGCGCATGTAAACGATGCACCACTGTGAAAAATCTCTGCTAAGACGCAGTATATGCTGCTGCGTGCAGCTCTCGCTGCTAGTTGTGCGCAGTGCATCACCATCTACGCTGACTCTGTCCCTGCCGCAACACTCGCTAGCTGTAGCATACGCACGCGTTGGTTGTAAAGGTGTTCGCTATGACCACAGACGCGGCGATGCTGTTCCTTAAAGCAACGCGTCTGCACGGCATAATTATCGATATTGCACAAAAAGGCAACTTGAACAGTGGCATTGCCCGTTTGGGCTGTCACCCATAAAAGCTTGCAGTATGCTTCTCATGCACTGCTGAGCTATTAGCTGAAGATGCTTATCATAAAAAATAGTCAGCAATTAATTCAGTGTGGTGAGTTTGCCACCTGCCACCATCATGCCTCGACGCATTCCCTTTGCTTATCTGCAAAGACATTGCCGCACTGCAGCATAATAACTTCTTCGTATTTTTTATCTGCTGCACACCAAAACTTGTAAGCATAGTGGCAAAGCTGGCTGTTGGACACTACTACAGTTGCAAACAGATAAACTTGCGAAAACATTGGTTCTAACTTAGAGACAAAGGCAAAGGTTGGGAATTTAATTATTGCAGGGCCGACCAAAAATTTACACAAAAAATCCGAAATATCTAATGCCTAAGAGTCTGTGTTTGAAATTTCAGACGTTCTTGTACATTGACGTCTATGAGAATTGTGACAGTGGTGCGAAAACGTCCGAATTTTCATGCATGTCCAGAAAATCGGGCATCTGATAAATCGGCGGTTTACTGTGTAATAAAAGCCCTCACATATATGCACTAAGATAGAGCGAATGATGTATGATGGTCAAAATATGTGTAATCAATGTTTTTTTATTCATCAATATGTTTAGCACATTGGCTTCTTTACAGCAATGCCTGAATGAAAATGTTTGAATCTTGCCTACAGAAAACAGAAATGTCATTTCTCATTGCTGCTTAGCAATATAAATCTAATGTCTGCATTCATGGGCAGTCATACAAACATGGATTTTAGGAAGAAATAAATTGCAACAATGAAAATACAAATAATAAAACTGCCCTGTAAACGATGCACAAAACATGGTATAAATGACTAGGACACTGAAACTCATCAAAGCACAGTAAATATTTCCTAATGTTACAAGCCAACAGTGGCCCGTCGAACAATAACACCAAAGAGCACTCACCGTCCGTAGTTGTTCCTTTTGAATCCAGCCCTATACATATCTGGGAAATTGCGGCCACCAAATCCTGCAAAAAAGAATGTGTTTGCTTTGTTCAACATTGTCACTGCAATTGCGTTCGCGTTGCAATTCTGCCTTACTGATAGTAATACTACTCTCCACCCAGACATTAGCCTCTCAAAGTACGCTTGACCAATCTTTGTTTTTTCTAATTGAAGTAATGAATTTTTTTCTAATTGAAATAATGAAAGATTAGAGGTTGGTGCCATTATGGTGGCACCGGCTACTTTTTACTAATCTTAATTTCCTCCTTCTCAAAAATAAACGGCGTGGTTTTCTGCAATGCCCAGCCTTGAGAAAAGGGATGAATAAATCTGAAGGGGGTTATCATTTTATGGAGTGTCCTTCAGCCGCTTCTTTTCATCGACCGATGCAAATTTCCATCGGAAAGCTGCGAAAAAATTATCCCACGTGGTGAAGAGTCCTGCGAAGCGATACCACAACTGTGCACTGCCGTCAAGTGCCATGGTAACGACGTGGCTAACTCGGTCTTCCAAAGGTATGCCATTAATAAAAAAAAATTTGTCTATTTTGCTGAGGAATTCTTCTGGCGTCTGCACATCCCTGAACCCCGCGAACCTTGGAAGTGTGGTCACAATGGGCGATGTCACCATCATTTGGGTCGCCAGCGGTCGGAAAAAGGCAGGTTGGTGCTCATTGCTTACAGGAGCAGCCGTTAACGCTTGCCGCAGCTCGGATGCTAGGCGTTCGTGTTCAATAGCAGATTCATTTGTCTGCCTCAGCATAAACTGCACGAATTCATCACGAATTTCAGTCTTCAGCACAAGTGTACAAGATGGCGAACATTACGTAATATCCGCTCAGGATGCGTGCTGTCAACATTACTTTCAATTCCAAAACCACCTTGCAGCAATGGCACAAATTAGGCAAAAAAAAGCGCTCTTTGAGCAGTATGGCACAGTAATTTCCAGTTGGTGCAGGATGATGTAATTGGCGCAGGTTTCCCACCATTGCACACATAATTGCACACTGTATGGTAAAGTGCAACGAATTGTTGAACAAGAGGAAACATCTCAAGGCCTTGTTTGTTTATCAGATGTGACGTAATTAAAACAATAAAGCCAAGAGAGGCACAGGGACATTTTTAGTTTGTAACTGTAGTGTACTAATTATTGTTACACACTTAAACCTCTTTACGACAAAGTTGTACTTCACAGAAAATAAGCTCGTTATATGGAAATTTTTTTTATAAATGTATATTCCTAACACTATATTTATAGCAAGAGTACTCTTTCTTCACTTTGTTATAACCATTATTTTGTTATGTGTATCCAGGTTCATTATATCAAGGTTTTAGTGTAAATGGAAACTGTTGGACAGTCATAGCAGATCTTGTTTCAAGCTACTGATTGCAGCAACAGTGAAGACAAGGTCACCTGTAGACAACTGCGAAACATGAGCTCCTCAAAGAGACGAAAAAAATATCCGTACCGGGGAACCCGGCACCGGGATGACCTCTCGGAAAGCCAAAAGCGGGGGGTGGTGGGAACATTCCGTGGAAGGGGCCCATCATACCGGGACCCTCGTGCCCAACTCCTCCAGGAACACGACCACCCCCGGGGCCTCCCCGGTTAGCCGGGTGCTCCGGCAATTGAGGCCGCTTGGGGTCCAAGAGGTAGTTGTTGAAGTACTCCACCTAGAAGAGAACAATGCACACAAATACCCATTGGCAGAGTTACTTTTATATTCCACACAACATTCGGCCGAAAAAAGAAACTGTAGTGGACAGTTATGACATATCTGCTGAAATTTTTGTGACCTACCAGATTATTTTAAACTTCTTCACGCTGCCACCGTGTACCCAAAACTAAGAAAGGGAGAATAGGAAACATCAGAAAGTCACCCAAACAAGTATATGGCTGACAAGCATTTGGTGTGCCACACTATAAGCTCCAAAAGCAGTCAGTGAGGCTGGCAAAGCTTTCTTGGTGGATGAAATGGTCGCAGACTGCTATGTCAAAGGTACTAATACATCCTGCACTGAACTGTCTAGCTTAGCCCATGACAGATGGGACCACAAATTCCTTTAGCCCTTCTACATTTTAACCGATGAAAAGAATAGTTTTTTTTTTAATACATAGTACTACATTTAGGCTATTTCTTTCCTCCTACTTTTACAGCTAGGCATAATGCCCCGAAAATGGAAAACTTTTCTGAAAAAGGGGCGGTCGAGGAAAGTGATTTCTTACCTCTTTGCGCACTTCTTCCACTTTCTCAGAATGCTTGTTGAAGATGTGCTTGCGAACAAATTCGGGTCCCTTGAACTTCTTGCCCGACAGTGGGCAGAGCCACTTGTCTTTGGAGAGCTCTTGCGTGTTGGCTGCAACAAATTTTTCTACCTCGCTGATATAAACGTTCCGAGTCAAGGAAACAGCACGACAGAAATGTGCACAAGCAGAAATGCAGCCTCGCTGCGCATCAGGCATGTCGACTCATTATGCAATCTCATTATGAAGAGAAAACAGACATCATAGTGACATGGCGACCTCAGAGGCTGCACCCAACTAGACCTGTGCCTTTATTTCTACTTGAGATACATTCAACTTTACTGTCTGTAAAGATATAATGCTTTGAATTATGCATGAAGTAACAAAATGGATATCAAGCAGATACAACAAAGGAGTTCTAAATTAGAAGTCAACAGGTGCAACAAAGCTGAAAGAGACGTAACAACTGAGCCAAGTTACAAGAGCAGCTTAGCTGCTTTACAAAGCGCTGACTTCAATGAGAAAATACAACCACTACACCCCAAGGATACGCATCCGGGTCTTTCTTGCCGAGCTTGTTGGCTTCCTCCACACTGAGTTTGGTTGATGGCTGGAGGAAGGGTGAAATCTTGCTCTCAAAATGGTTTATGTATTCGGCCACTGAAATAAAAAGCAACAAACATGGCAACACACTTCGTTTTTTTTTTTCTTATGTCATGTGAGCAAGCACCTTACAGCATTGATGAAAATGTGCGTATGTTTTTTTTCTCCTAACTTGCAGTCTACAGTATGTTTGGAATACAACTACTTTCTATACTCGGGGATGACTTTCTGTGGCAATGAAGGCAAGGCTACGGAACCAAAGTACGCGTGTGCCACCGCTGAAGAACAGTCCTACAAATGTGTCTGTGTTTTCGGTCTGAAAATCGTAAAAAACAATGTTGCTTTATTTTCTATGAGATACTGTTTATAAAGAGATGCTGCACGAACCAAGGAGATAAAATTGGCCCCGTATATGGATGTTTCACTGCAAACGTTGTCGAAAGATCCTAGTCTTCCTTCTGGAAAGAGTGAACAAAACGTTTATTTGATGTTGTATGCGAGAAAATGGGTGAATTGTATTCTGGAGGTGCTGCGTTAGCAGGTCTCGATCCGTGCAGCGAAGGCGAACAAGCGCATCGAGGCACGTTAGACACGAGCGCTATCTTCGAAAATGCTTTAAAAACGACGGGCAAGTGCCACTGCCATGTCCTCTCAGCAAAGCGTGGGAAACACTTGCCTTTTTTGACATAGCTTTGCATTGTCAGTGCAGCGTAATAAATGCTACGGTCCTTAGAATCCCTTATGTATGCCTTCTCTAGTATAAAGCCACACATAGAAAATATTGACATGTTATGGTGCCTCAGCTATGCACAATAATTGCTTTTTAATTGACAATTGCACAAGTATGAACGCTGAAACTTGAGCAGTATTGGCGGGTGCTGCGGATGGGGTTGGCCGTTAGGAATATCGTTTGGTGCCGTTTGAGGTAACGATACAATGAAAAAACAGACAAATGTACCGACAGACTAAAACTTGTGCGTCGAAGCACCCCAAGAAAGACTATCGTCTTTAATATTTGTTTTGCTTTATGAAGAGTCATTTTCTGTTTTTGTGCGAATTAAAACGTCGCACGTTTGAGGTGCATCTGAAGGTCAAAATGGCGTATTCGCCTTTAGGTGAGCGGCCGTCGCCCTCCAGGTATTTAGACGGCTAACCAAAGGAGCTCACTCACAAATGTAGCTGTGTAAGCAGACGTAGCAAATTCTATGCAGTGGCATTACTATAACCCGGCCGTCATAGGAAAAGTGAGCCGAACCGGACTAATCCGCACAGGAGTACATGTGCAGTTGCCCCCCCCCCCCCCAGTTTTTCTTTCATTGCCACAGAAAGTTATCCGTGAGTATAGTATAGTATAACTAGTATTTAGAAGCTCACAAGTGCAAGGAAGCCGATATGATTTGCATGCACATGAATGAAACAAGTGTGAACAATTGTACCTAGTTAAGTGCATTGCACAGTAAATGATTTGACTCTTTCGTTGCCATGCAAAAATGGTTATTTTTCATATGTCTCAGGAAGATCAATTCTGCCAGTGCTCTAGTACGCATTGCAATATACCAAATTTTGCACAATGAAATGCTCTTCCCAAAAAACACACATATATATACAGTGAAATCTTGGTATAACGAACTTCAAGGGACCGCAGGAACTTGTTCGTTATTTTGAAAGGCCGTTATAGTGAAAGCTCGAAAATTAACCATACATACGACTTACTTTCACAACAGTGGGTCCTTGAACTCGTTTTTCTCGAGAAAAAAAAGTAAACACCAAAAAATGCTTGTTTACTTTAAAGAAGTCTGTGATTTCTTTTTTTTTTTGATGCGAGCAGCACAAACTTTGCAGGGCGAAGGCCTCCAGCTCATCCACATTCCTGTGGTGCGATTTGATTCTTTGGTCTGCCTTTTGCCTTCTAGTTGCCGAAGAATATCCATTGTTACACTTAGCAAAAACTGCTTCCGCTTCTTCGTCGCAAGCAGAGATGAACTCATTTGTAGTATCACCGCAGCGCGAACGCCGACATGCTTTGCGGACTCGATGAGTATTCACCGAAAAGAGATGAACACCACTGAAAAAACAAGGCCTCACAAGAAAACTCCCAAAGCGTCATGGCTCTCATTGCCCCTTTAGAAGAAAAAAAAAGTGCTAAAATGAAAATGCCTCGCGTTTTGTTTTCGGCTCTCTCACTGTCTCAGGTTTTCCGCGCCCATGCTTCCTGCTCCGCAACTACTACTCTGCCTCGCTGACCTTGCGCTCCCGTGTTGCCCTCACCTCTGCGCCCACTTGTAAACCTGCAGCGTCAACGTTTCACCAAAAAGAAAGTCGCCCTTTTGTTTTTTTTTTTCCCTCCACACCGTCGCGCGTCTTCCTAGAAGCAAGACGTCCGTTCGCTTTGTCGTCTGCTTGCGTACCGCTCCGGTGGTCGCGACGGATTTGAGAATATAAGTTCGTAGTACTGAGGCGTTGTTAATATAATGCGGAACTAAATTAATGCTCGTTATTCTGAAAAGTTCGGTATTTTGAAGTACGTAGTAGTGAAATAATTTTACATTGAAACTATTAGCAGTCAGTACGGGATTTTTAAAAAGTTCGTTAATCTGAAAAGTTTGTTAATGTGGGGTTCATTCTACCAAGATTTCACTGTATGTTGTAGAGCTAAAAATATATTTTGGTACGAATAAAAATGTGAAAAGTGTGCAATCCTTGGTTGCCAGCTGGTAAACAGTGCAATAAAAAACAGTATATGTGCAAGAATATTCATTCAAATTCAGAATAACATATTTAAAACAGCTAAATGACCCAGGAACAGCATAAAAATAATAAATGTTGTAGAAAATGTTTATATTCACTTAGACAAGCAAAATAGGAACCAAAATGCAGCTTCGCTGCTCGTGCCATGCGGTGAAGCACTGCTTGGTTTGCACGCGACACAAGAAAACTCGTACACTTTTCTCAGTATTTTTTCTTTTTCGTGATAGCAGCCTCTAGGTGTTCCAATATAGATAAATGCTCATGATGTGAATAATCCCTCTATAAATCAGATGACCAAAGAACTTGCGCTACTTTGTCTAGCATCACTGCTTTCATTGAGCCACCTCACACTGCATAGGTTGGTGTTCCTAAACATGCACCCGAGCATATTTCTTAGCATTTTGCACATCATATTTAGAAAACAGAAGAATATCACCCGCAGTTTTAAAATGCCTCGATGTGCTCCGGTGGCATTCTTGCCCCAGCAAAACGGGGACCTCGCACAAAACCAGAGTAGCTATAAGATTGTGCATGAAGACCAGCGGCTACACACTTGCGGTGGAGGAGACAACCTGAGGCCGTAAACAAGACAAACCCATGAACGGCTGCGGATGTCTCAGGCTGACGCAAGACACTGTGACCATAAAACTTGAAGCTGAGGTGCTGTCATCGTCGAACTCTAGGACCGTCCTCCCTCAATTCAGGTACGGTTGCAAGACAGTTTAGAGTGACGCGTGTGTTTTGCAACGCTGGTGCGCACCCACGCGCGTGCCGCCGCCATAGGATAGACTAGTGACGCTATGCGACCCCGTGTCTGATACAATGATAGAAGCAAAACCGAAGCTGCTGGAAACTGGCTGAAAAGGCCACCTTCACACTTTATACATGCGGCGGACCTTCAGAAATATTTTTTGTAGAGTAAATTTTCCCTGAATCCTAGCAAATGCTTTTTATTGAATAGCTGGCATAAATTTCTGGCAACTACTACTGCTCAACACTGTAAGATTGCGAAGCTGACACTTTCATTGGATATTTGACTTGCAAAGGTTCTTTTCATTACAGAACTTCGATGTTACTGTAGCATAATCTGAGTAACACGCACTACTGTCAAGTTCGCCAGCCCAGTGGATTTTTTTTAAACACAACTGCACTGGTTCGTGCAAAGGTCTGTCGAAAATCACTATTTTGGCAAAACAGGCAAATTCTAATTCGTTCTTAACTACTAGAAAGTGCTGGGTGCAAGAGAAACAAATTTAACATGCCAAAATCGACGATCCGATGCGTCGATCACCAGTGATTGATTAAGGGTGCCACCAATGTAAAAGTTGCACATACGACAGTAGAAATAAATTTTTCTTACCAAACTTAAAATAAGTGCTGCCAGTATGTGGCAGATCAACATAGCCTAATCTGGTGAAGCACTTAACTAGCAAATTTGCTTTTCTTAGAGGCAGAAAACAAGAAAGGCAAACAGACTACTAAATAAATAGACCTCAACAGCAGTACAAACATATAAGGCTTGTTACCTCAAGCTTTATCACATTTTCCATATTTGAGATGTCCTTGTTCAAAAAAAGCTTTTAAAACTCACTGGGCTACCTTTCGTAGCATCTAATAAATCTGGAACCTCATTAACTAGTCCCCAATAAACACTGTCCAAACTTTATCACAAGGTCGGAAGCTTGTTGCAATAACCACCTTGTCTCTGCACCCACCCTTCTATTTCAGTAAACTATTTTTTAGAGGTTCAGAAGCATAATTTACCAAACCAACGTAGCTACAAAAGCACTTAAAAGAAAAGAATGCCGAGCCTCTAAAATGAATGAAAATAATAGTAATGAACATATACTCTACCAAACTGATTGTGCTTCTCTCTCAAGAGGCGTGCACTCACCTTCCTGTGAGGTGACCTTGCCCGAAGGTGGTGACCCTCGAGCGTGCATGATGCCGCACCTGTTAGGCATCTCATCCTCACTGGCGTACTCGCTGTGGTTGTAGTAGTCCACCGAATGCACAACTCGCAGGTACACCAGAAGACGGTCCAGCACCTGAACAAGGGGTGACAGGGTGCACTAACAGAGCAACCAACACCTAGCTACGAAACATATTGTAGTCCCATCCTGCCCCAACACTATCCTCGCAAGGACCATGGTCAAGTCCACGTTGAGGATATGCCCTCCTAAAAAAATTTATACATACACCATGCAGCAAAACCAACAAAACAGAAAAGAATTAAACTTTATTTTTGGCCGTAGAAAGCACATTCACACAAAATAAATTTGAGTACAAAATTATTAAGTGTGATGATTATTCAGTCAATAATAGGAAGCGGATGAAAAGACTCAGTGAATAATTCTTTGCAAATTATACAAACTAATTTTACTATGAGAGTCATGAGTTCCTTATCATTTAACAGACATGTAAGTGCTCTTAGTAAGCATGCACAAGCCAAGTTATTGATGGCGGCATAAAAGAACAGTTATAGCAGACATGTGCCATACGCTGCCACTGCTACCTTTATTAGCGTCTCGTCCTTCTCACTGTTAATGCCACCAGCGGCCGAGGGGTCTTCGGCGTCGGCATTTTCCTCCCTATCTGCAGAGCCTCCCAGAAGTTCCTCCTCCTCTGCTGAGGCCTCCTCAATCAGGTAATCGGTGATGTTCTTCAACAAAGGATTCTTGGAAGACACACCGAAACCCTGCAAGGTGTCGCATTAGACATGAATGAAGACGCAACTGTAGCCACCAAAAAGACTATGCAACTAGGACAGTAGTTTCAGTCTTTCATAACTAGCTGCGAGAAGGCTCAAAATGGGAAAAAAGAAGTCAAGTCGGAAAGAAGCATTGGTTACTTGCAGTGAAATGGAGAAACAGATTTGCAAAAGCAAGCAATGTTTATACAAATAAGACAAGTCATCTACAATGTTCCTTTGTCATTGTAAAAGTCGCAGTTCTTCAAATAGCTGGAAATAATTTACAAAAAGCTACAGTCAGCTGAGACATAACGCAACTCCACAATGTCAGAGAAATAAGCATTTTGAGATCCCAGAGCCCAATCAATGTTAAAAGCCACAGTACGTGTAGCAATACTGTTACTGTTAAAGCACATTCCCATCTCTCTTCCACAGGTATTTCGCTGAATCAATATTTACCAACACTCACACATGTACACAAGTAAAAGAAAAAAAACAGGTTAGACAGTTCCACTGCTATAGTAAACTAAATACACTAAGAACCAAGCAAAGGCACACAAGACAGTGCAAAGTGATGTACCTCAACAGCAGGTAGCTGGTCCGCCACAACGTTACCAGCAGACTCTGCACCAGGTTCAGTCTCGGTCCAGAGACTTTTCTGGTTGTCTAGGTTGTGCACAATACGAGCGGCCAGCTTGATGTCAGAGCGGATCACTTGCTTGTGAGAGGCAATGCCATTCACTGACCGGATACGCCGACTCAGGTCCCGGTTCACAATGGCACCCAATTCACAGTCTCGTAACTGCAGCACACCAAAACAGCAACATAAAAAATAAATATAAAGAAGCGAGAAAACAGATAGGGGGACTCAATCTGCAGTTTATTCGAGCAAAAAAATAAAATAAATGAAGAAATGAAAATTCCACTGGGTGTTCTTGCAACTGTGTCTACATTAAAAAAAAAAAAAAAACTACACTTCATTTAGGATTTCAGCTTTTCCTAATCAACATCAGCAGTGATGAAATTCGGAGGCTTTGCAAAGTGGCCACCACTTCCAAATTTTCACCACATAATCAACTTTACGACCTTCAGCGGGCTTGTCACTGATACGAAAATGATGTCTGGCAATACTAAGCATACTCATTAGCCATAAACTGTACTAAAAACATGTATCTATAAATATAGCCTCAACCATGTGCTGAGAATCAAGTTGATATCTTTCAAAGGAGAACTTTTTTGCAATGCTTACATGTGGGCTTACCCTATCTCTCTTGTAAACTTAATTTTACCTGATGAGCCATAATATTACAATTAATCATTCAAGAGTATTCATCAATTTATAAAAGAGTAACACCCTGAATGAGTGAGCAAACATCATTTATTCAGATTAAATCGTAAGTTCACCTGCAGTTACGGTATTCACTCGTTCAACAAGCTCTATGTATGAGTTTAGTATTTTGAGACGCATGCTAGCAGTCTCAAAGTTGAAACAATGCACCAGCACAATCTGTCATCTTTTTTACTTCACTTGCTACTGTGTGAGCAAAATGTTGATATTAGTACCAAACGCTTGCTTGATTTTATTCACTTAACCCTTAGGAGTCACTCACAACTGAAAAATTGTATAAGTGTTGGGGTTTTGCATCCCGAAAGCACAACATGGTTTGGAGGGATGTTCTGTAGTGAAGAGCTCCGGAAATTTAAAAAAATCTGGTGCTCTTTAATGTGCACCGTCATCCCACAGTACACAGAGATCTAGCATTTCTCCTTTCTACCGCCACAGTCGGGATCAAACCAGCGACATTCGGGTCAGCAACCCCCTGAGCACTATAGCCACAACATCACCGCGGCAGACAGGATTGAAAAAAAAAACCACACCTCCCTAAAGGGAATCGTGAGCAAATACGAATGCATTTGGGTGCACCCAATGAGTGTGCGATTAATTAATGAAGAGAGACGAGAGTGTGCACGTAAGCATTATTTAAGAAATTACTGGCCACTCTCTTCAAGCGCATGCGTTTGGCATTACGCGCTCTTCGCTTCGCAGCACTTTCTTCTCTAACCGATGATGACATTGAAGCAACTGCAGTGACGCCAGCACCAGGAAGAGGCACAATGCTCGAGTTGCATTGTGTTACACTTCGTCTTAGTGGTATCGTTGCTACGAGAGATTCGGCTTTACTGACTTCCATTGCTATGAAGACACCGAAGCGCGTGCTCTGTGCATGAATATAGATCCGAGCACGGAGAGGAGGAGCGCCCGAGCTCTGTCTCCGCCGAGCAAGCTCTACGATGCAAGCGTCCTCATAGGGTACGCTCCTCCTTTACCTTAAGGTCTCTAAATGAAACAAGTTTTCAAGTTAGCAACACCTTTCCCTTTCCTCCTCGCCTATGTTCCTGGAGCGCCCCCTAGAACGTTCAAAGCTTACATCAAAAAGCAAATGTTTGGGTTCACTTGCCAAGGTGAATTGATGCAAATATAACAAAATGGAACCAAATGAGTCGTAGCATAAACTATTACCTTTATGAACATAAACAGTACAACACAAGGGCAAGCGGGATGTGCATTACTCAACTGGCAACGTAGTGCAGTTTTATATTTTATACCACTAGCCATGGCGTCTCACGTCCAGTTCTCCGAATGTGTTTTGTTCGTGCTGTGACATAGCAAACACGCTTCTTGCTGAATCCTGTCAGTGACCACAGGGCGTAAAGTTGTGACGAGTGATTACAGCCGGCTTGTGCACACGCAAGGAAAAACCACGGCCGGACTGGTACAAACGCTTGACTAGCATCACTGCAATGACAGTTTTTTTAAATGTTTTTTTTAAATGGACAATCTTGATGCCAGGTGATACTGGTGCGGTGTACGGATCTTCCTTAAAAGTGAGAGTTCTATTGGTGAGGTGTCCCGAAACAGCGAGTTTAGGCTCCTTTATGCCGCGTTCTAGAGAAAGTGCCTCGAACTGGTCAAGCGTGAAATGTTCCTGAAGGTGCGTTGATTACACCATCCAGCTGCTCTGTATATACATGCATACGCACAAGTGTTTGTAACAACTGACATGCACTGGACGCGCATTAGACGCACTCCTGGCGTTTCAATAGAAACCGACAAATAAACTTGCTTCACAGATCCGCGTCCAGCTACGCTGACGGAGTTACACGAAAGCGTTCGGGTGAAATGTTTCATAGCTATACATTTCACGGCGTTTCGTTTCAGATAGCACAAGGTAAGTTAAAGAGAGCGAAACCGTTTTCTGTTGTATGCATTGCTGAAAATCTTAGATATTGCATTGAACGAGCACCACGAAACAATCTTGGCCAACTTGGCACCAACTGAAACACTCTTCCTTTTCACTTTATGTCCTGGCTATGATTACATCTTCGGTCCTATGTCCTGGCTATGATTACATCTTCGGTCCTGGCTACGATTACATCTTTATGTCCTGGCTATGATTACACGCGTACTCATTTTGAACCTTTTGCATAATAAAAAATACCACCACCAACCATTTGCAAGATAACGTGCTGGGAATGCACCAATTACAGATGTGGATGGCAGAGAAAAGGAGGGGTAAGCAAGAGAGTAAAGAGGACGGCTCGAGCAATGAGTGACGCTACCTTGGAAACTTGTTTCATCTAGGAACCTTACTTTCTCTTACTCTCTGCTGCTCCGTGATGCAAGCGCTATCACACACCTGCGCGCTCCTCCTCTCCCTTACCCTCCACCACTCACCACCTGCTCGGATTGCTAGGCATGGAGCAGCTGTTGCCAGGGGTGCGGAGGAACGCACGCTAAGAGATCTGTGTGCATGCCGACCTGGGCCACACAGCAACCCCCGACTAAGGAATGCATTCGCATTTAAAAAATGCAAACTGCAAGGCCAATCCATCATTCGTTCACCCATCGCCAGTGCGGAGTTGCTCAGCAACACCAATGCTTACCCTTATGTTGTTGAGGTTCCAGCAGATTTCCTTAATGTTGACGGTGCGCTCAAACGTCACCCAGCCCCGACGGAAGAACCGGCGATCCGGCTGGGGGTCCGCGATGGCCACCCGTAAGAAGCCAGGGTAACGCTTGCACATCTGAAACCGCACATTAAATAATACGATTATGAACCACTGTTGTCTCTTTGTCTCTACAAGGGCATTCGGGTTTCTGTACATAAATGTTGCTACGTTTGTCACTTATGAGAAAATGTTAGAGGAGTGGTGCCACCACATTTGTGGCTTGCGCATTCTTTGCTGCAAGCATTTCTTACAGCTTCATGAAACATGATACACACACCAGGATATTTATTTTCGCTAAATCATTTGTTATCACCTCACTTAAGCGGACAATTTTCAGTTTTGGTTTTTGAGCGCCAAGTTTGGCTATGACGTAGCAGTGTAGGTGGCTTGGTCATGGGACCTCACAAGACTGTGACGCACGTCGTGCTGCTTATCGTGCGCTCTGGCACACCTGTGCCACGCAAGCACCTGCAAAACAAACATGCCGACAGCTGCCATGGCTAGCTGCAGCAGCCATGATGCTTTGCCGGTACGTACGTGGCAGACGTTTGGAAAACACTCACCTCACACAAGGGAGGGGGGTTGCAAAGTCAGCTCGACACATTGACATAATTGGGGTGGGGAGGCACTGTGATGAACCTTTGCCCCCCTTAAAGGGGAGACCTGCGCATGCCTATGCTCTCTACAGACCACGTGCGACGTCACTACAACTTTTGTTGCCCTTCCTACAGAGCTACGTCAGTGCTGGACGCGCTTTCGATGGGCTTCGATCGGAAGAATAAGCATTTAGGTACACTTCGGAAGTGAATTAAGACATTCTAAACATTTGTTGTACCCAACCATTCACTTGGAGTGTCTTTGCATACAGAGGAAACAAGAGGCTTGTTCTAGCTTTGGAATTTGATGGCACCACCCCTTTAATAAAGCACAACCTCATTTAATTTAGAATTTAGAGGAGTGGGGGAAAAGAAAGCCAGTACTATTAACAGGAAGAAAACAATAACGAAGTTTTCATCACACCAACACATTTTTCCTGACTACGGTATTTACATGATCGTAAACTGATTCGAATGTAGGTGGACCCCCCGCCCCCCAAAGTTGCGTATCCCCCCCCCCCCAAAAAATGCGAGCGCAGTTCACACAAAGAAAATTTATTCACAAAGACTACTCAACGACGCTGGAGTCGTCCTCACTGGTGCTGCTGTGGTCAAACAGCACATCGTCATCAACTCACTTGATGGGCACTCATGACAGGCACAACGATTCAGCAAAACACAGAAGCACGAGTGACAGCAACACACGGCGACAAGGCTGCTTAAAAAATGCTATCACAAAGAGAAGCTGTTTACTGGCTCCGTCAACTACCGATACCCTCCATTCAGCGAGCCGCGATCATATCACGTTTTGGTGTTCTTCAGTACACTTCCAGACCCAACAGTGGGAGCGTTATTGCTCAAAGTACGGTAGCCAACTTCTTTCAAAGTCGGCTTGAAAATTACGTGAATAGGTAAGCAATACGGTAAATTAATACGCTACACTTTTACCGTAACCTTGAAAACACAGGAGCAAAGTTGTAACCCCGGCGTAGTGCCCCTGATTTCTCGTTTCTTTTGCCATTACTAGCAATACACGGTTAAGTTTCAATTCTAAATCAACCCCCAACATTGGATTGTCAAATTTGAAAAAATGGGTCGACTCATTTGTCTGAATACGGTACGAATTTGACAATTTCACTAAAGGGCTCTTTACGAGGTCTGAATATTTTGAGCTGACAAGCATAATGCATAGACAGGGCATTCGTAATTACGTCTGTTAAAGTTTGCAATGCTGCATGCCGCAAAATCAAGCTGAATGCTGCTGGCCTTTTGACTCTAGGGCGCACCCTTCAAGATGGAGTAGACCTACGTAGTTATCCATGCTTTAATGAGGCTCTTTTGTGCGGACATTCGTCACCAACCGTAGCACTTGACACCTGACAATTATTCGAGGTGACATGAGCAATTTGTGTATCTGTAGCTCGAATCAATCAATGAATGTTGAGAGAAATAATTAAACATTCAAGCAGAATGTGTGCTTCTTTTTTTATTTTTCACTTCAAATCGCAGCAAGATGCGAGAGTAATCTGCCTACTTTACACATGCGTTTGTGTTCTCGCCATTCCTGCAGCGTGCAGGTACCAGCCCTGACAAGGCTTGCCGTGTTTTTCATGCATAGTCTCCGACAGCAGTCCTAGTGATGCGACGTAGTGTGCCTTTATTACCTCCTTCATTGTGCCACGATAAGGAATGATCTGTACCAGCCTCTCCAAGCATGTGCGCATCGAGAGATTCAGGTCACAGAAAGAGGTAGTAGACCACAGAGAACACAGACAGAACACCGCTCGCATTATCGGACCCTCTATGCGCATACGACCTTGCATGTGCAAGACGTATTCATGCATTTCTGTTATGCGACTCTCTGGCTGTGATGCCAACATGGATGCCAAAAAGGGCAGGGAATAGATTTTGGCTACTACACGGGACAAGGGTTTCAAGCTCGCCTCCTTGCATTCTTCCGGCATAATGCTCTTTCTTGGGCACACAGAAACGTCCAGTATCTAACTGAAATTTCTTATGTGACCTGGTGAGGGGCATTATAACATTTTGCTTAAAGCAGTGTGGAAGGTGCATAACTAACTTTCTGACTTACCTTACAGTGTGGTTGCAGCACAAGACCTGTCTCTTTATTGAAGAACTGCTTTTAGGTTTTTTTTTTTTTTTTTGAATTTACCTTTCAGGTCAATGCTTCCTGAAACCTTTTTTCCTGGACTACGAAAAACCATAAAAATTAACAAAGGTTGAAGAACCCTCTTTCAATTTTTAGAATGTGCTTCATATGTTACACGTGGTGATAGGTGCAGCAGATGAGAGTAATCCCAATAGGACATGTAAGACTGTGCATACACACCCCTGATCACAATCTAGGCCAACTTCTAATGCTCCTTCACGTTACAGAAAATAATGCATTGACAGTCATGTGCAATACAGCATGAACAGCACACGGCTTCCTCTCGTATAGGTGATCGAGCACTCACCGCCTCCACTTCCATTTTGGTGATGGTAGGTGCCAGGTTGCGCAGAAAGATGGAGCAAGTCCGGTGAAGGGGCCGTGGCCGGTTCTTCTCTTCGGTGCCGGCAGCCTTAGACCCGTCCCCCTGGCCAGACTCATTCTTAGTGGCCTGCTCACCAGCCGCGGCCTTGGGCTCATCCTCTTCTTCCTCCCCTTTACACTTGCTGTCAGCCACCGAATCAGGGCCTCCTGTAAAGAAGAAGAAGACATCAGAGACGATATGTGCATCATTTCAGAGAGAGAAGTTTGTAATGGAAGAAATGAAAAGATTTATGTTCTGAAATACTACATAAATTTGCTTGCTAGTTCAGACTACCAAGAGATGTGTGGAATGGTAAGATGATTGCATACAGAACTAAACTACCAAATTCAGAGCACAGGTCAGCGGTATTCAAATGGAGGTCCTCGAAACTATTTATGAGGGTCTAGTCTACAAAACCCATGCTTGGCGGGAAAAAAAGAAAGAGAGGAGGAGAGGTGTTCTTAGAATCCTAACCAAGCCCTGTAACAGTGGCTTTTTCTGATTTTTTTTTGTATGTTTTGCCACATGACAGCCTTGCATTGCAGCGGAGCTATGTTCCCCTTTCTCATGAAATGGCTGGAAAGCAGTCATCTCATGAGAAGCTGCAGTTTTCTACAACACATGCACAGCATGCTTCTTCCAGGCTTGCATACTTGAAGAGCGTACGTAACTACAAAGAGGTTGACTGTGGCTGTATGCTGTACACTTAATCAGCCAACTGGTGAAATCAAATTGTTGTGGCACTGCGATTTCACTGTTTTTTGTGAGTCAAAATAAAAGGTGCCTATATTTCAGCTACATGCTGCCTTAACGTATGACCACCACTCTCTCATTGCAAAGGATTTACAATTGCTTCAACCGGTCAACGACGGACCTCTCAAAATTTAGGGTGCTTATAATCATATACAGTCGAGCCCACTTATAACGAACCTGAGCGTGATGCAGCATTTGTTAGCTGTATCCTGAAAAAAAGTCCTTGATGCACATGTTTCGAAGAGTAGAAGCGATAAGGGTGGCCTCCAGTTTACTTAAAGTGGCAGCATGCTCTTTGCCAAGGCCAATGGCACATCCAAACTGCCTGAGGCTATTAATGCAGTGAATTACTATAAGCATGCTTGTGGGCACTGGCTCCAAAGTTTCGTCGTCCTCGAAGTCTGATTCTTCCCAATCACCCTTGCCGTGCACTTCACTCACAATGCTCTCATCCACGCACGGTTCTGCGGTGTGAGCATCATCATCATCAGTGGCCGTAAAGAAATCATTGCTACAGAAATCCCGCTCGCTCTCCCCTGCTGGAGAGGGACGATGGGCTGGCACAAATCGCCGCCGGAGTTGTCCAGTTCGGAAGCTTCAGACTCGGCATCGGGCCCTGACGTCAACGAAGTCAGCCTCGCGACAGCAGTTTCGCATGCACGTAGCCATTAAACCTGCCCACGAAGCCTTCATCTCCACAGCTGAATACCAGGACGCCCGAAGTGAAAAGTTGGCTGCAAGGTCGTCAACAGCTATGAGCAAGTGCTCTGCAACGCGGCACCTATAGTAAGTCTTAAACACGCGAATTACACCCAAGTCAAGCGGTCACGCTTCAGACGTTTTGTTGAATAGCAGGAAAAAGTGCGCAATGCCTCCCGTCCACCGTTGTGGCCACACATGCACCCTAATAGTGAGCAAGATGCGCACACACGACACACAAGCCAGAACGCGTGGAACTGCCCTGGGCCCGTTTCTAGTTAGAAAACGAAACTTCTGAATTCCAGATAGCGTGGCTGGCGTCAGGAAGCAGTGGATATGGGCGAAGGAGTTGTGATAAAGAGAGGAGAGCAGACCTGCAAGAGAAGGGCAAGGAGTGTTGCGATAGAGTGAAGAGAGGGGAGGATACGACAGGAAGGTGACCTTGCCAATTAAGACGCATTGTAAGAAGGCAGATAGGGTCGCTTGCTTGAAAGGTCCGTGAAATGCACAACTCTACGCACAGGAAAGCTTGGGAGAGTGCCTGCTCGCGCAGAGGTCAAATAATAGTTTTGTGGCGGGGGACAAAGGACGGAGGGGTGCGTAAAAAAACGCGGTCGGGGAAAATGATAACAAGAGAGGTGCAGAGGCAGGGTCAGCGTTTAACAATAAGAAATTATGGGCACCTTTCCTGTGCCTTCTCAGTCGTAGAAAGTGGTCTCCTGGGAAGTCGCTGGGATGTAGGCTCCATTCGCTGTAACTCATTGGCAGCGCTCAGAGACGTTGTTGTAAGTGTGATTTTGTGCTATTGAAATAATGCATATTTCCACAGTCACGCGGCTATTGTTTGCTTTAAAGCGGGGCTGTTATATGTGGGTTCGACTGTATCGCAACACCTATATCAGAGGGTGTAATGAATTCTTCCGAAATGTGGTGTGCCAGAACTGGCAGACACATCACACAGGGTTCATACAGACTCTGCATGCAAACAGTGGATCATTTTTAAGGAATTACAAAACCCCACAAAGTCTTTGTCACGACACATTTAAAGTTTCTGTCTTGAATTATTTAGAAAACCCTTATTTTAAATTTGTAAAATCTTCCAAGGCATGCAATATCTCAGCTTCCGTAACTCTTTCATGAGCGCTGCCTATGGCATTCAAATATTGAGGGCTAAATTTAGACCACATGAATAGACTTGCACTTTCACGTGGTGTAATATCTTTCAGCATGAAACTTTCCACTGCTGCCTTTGTGCTCCCACTTTGCTTCCGAGTCCTCCTATGACTTTTTAGCACAGAATCTTCCACTGATGAGATGTCAGACACTTCCCAACACAGTCTGCACCACAGACAACACAATCTTCTTGGGTCTAGGGCACCCCGGTTTTTCATCTTGTCACATAAGCACAGACCACACTCCACGTAAGATAACGAGGAGCAGTTAACCAGAAGTATGAATATGTCTACTGCCAACAAAAAAATAGCCACAGCCCTTGCGGAACAAGCAGGCAAAAATGGAGGGCTTGGCATAGTTGGTGCTAGCTGCACCTGGATTGATGCAGCAAGAGGCAGGCTACTAGAACTGCAGCAAGTGGCACTGTCTGACCATAAAAGCAAACAGTATGATAACTACATAGTGAGCCAAGGGATGTACGATGTAAGCGCCCGCATGTGCTGAGCTGATCACTAGTGCCACCTACAGCACATTTATGCCGACTCAACGCCAAGACCACGCAAGACGCACTCCCTTTCTCGCTACCGTCGCCGCCATGGATGGCCACGTTTCCGCCGCGCTCCAGTATGCTTTAATATTTCATTACCCGGCTCTTAATGCCTCAGCCCTCACGCTCAGCCCTCACAATGAAGGGCTTGGTTGTGGCAGTGAGCCTTACCGTCCTCGTCGTCCTCCTCTGCGTCCCCCTTCGTGCTGCTGCCTTCCTCGTTGCCATCCTCAGACCTTTCTTCCTTGGCCTTGCTGGTCTTTTTTGCCCCAGGAGAACTGTTGAGCCTCTTGGACTTCTTCTTGCTCTTCCTCGAGGACTTCTTGCTTTCCCCACCACTCTCCTCACCCGGAACACCAGAGTCCTGATCGTCAGAGGCATCCCCTGAAGACATAAGAGCCAAGGGTTACCGAAACGAATGATGCAGCAAAGCACTGAAGGCAATCACGAGGACTCACTCACTGTCAAATCGCAGAGGTTGCATGATTCGTCGCATTTGCAAACCTCTGAACCAGTAAGTGGCACACAAGCAGGATGACGTTTGTCGGTTAATTTTGCGTTAGCAATGCGTTCCACTGTGACTATAGGGGAGGCTTCCCCAGGCACATAAATAATTAATGATTAAACTTAACTAAGATAAAATCAATAAGAAGAGTCCATAAGACATTACAAAAGAAATGAAGCCGCCACTCACTGTCGCTATCAACAGAGTCAGAATCTGAGCTGGAACTGCTTTGGCTGCTTGAGCTGTAGCTGCGTTTGCGGCCACCACTAGACTGCTTAGAGTCTGACTTGGCATCCTCGTCGTCCTCTTCATCATCAGCCCTCTTGTGTCGCTTGTCCTCATCAGCGGTCACATCCGAGCGAGTCGGTGAAGATGGTACGTCACCGCCCTGCAATGATGCAAGGTCATTGTTAAAAAAGCGTGCAAACCATAACTCAAGTAATGTTTTTAAAAGTGCACAAGAAAATGATGCATGCAGGCTGCTGCGTAGTCGAAATTCATGTGACAGACTATAAATACTTGCGTTTTTAAAAGCCAAACAATCAACACTGACCTGACATGAGCCTTCCTTGACCTCAGGCTTATCACTAGCTTCCTTTACACCCCTGAGGAAGACAAAAACAAAACAAAACAATAATAACCATGGCAGAACAAGCATAATTAGAGTCACATGAAAATGAATACTTGTTTAATAAACAAGGGTGCATCTCGGAAGGAGCACTAAGTGAAACGGCAAATTGATAAAATAACTTTGAGAGCACTAGTGTCCAAAGAGTTTATCACAGAGCCTACCTTGCATTGGAGAATGAAGCCCCTTCGGAAGGCTTGTCCTCCTGAGCGGGCTCATCCAATGCCTTCAGGTCATACTCAGTGCCACCTTCTAGCAAGATCACCACTGAAAAAGGGGACACACACAATTCTACCATCAAGCAACGCATGAGCCATGAGCACCCCGTGGTTGGACTTTTATGCAGAGCAGCAACGTTCTTTTACTTTTTTTCTACAGATGTGGGCCTCTCCAGCAGAGCCACAACCTACAATGTATGCCTGAACACCCACTCAAAAGGGATTATTTCAGATAGCAATGGTGAGGGATCTGCCTTGTGCACTTGCTTTCAACAATCCACAAAGCAGATGTTTTTCATATGCAAACAGTGCAAGTGTAGATAGCCATTACAAAATGGAAGCACTGGGTAACTGACTCCGAATCAGTGTGCTGATTGCCAAGAGTCCGAAGGCCCGTAGGTCGGCAAACATATTGGAACCCACTCGGACTCGCACTTGCAGAAATTTTCTTCGACTAAGACTCGCTAAAATTTATGTCAACCAGGCTCACTTGCACTCAAACTAACCAATGTGCTGTTCAGCCTGACTAACTCAGACTCATGGCTTAACTAGAGTCTCAGTGAGCCCGAGTGATAGCCCTGTCACATGGGCACCCGCGAACCCCGTTTAACTCCCTTGTCCTTATGACAAGAAAGATGCAGTTTGTGTCACACGGCCACCCTTATGCAAATGAAGGTAGTAAACGGGACATTTCGTAAAGGACGTTTGACGATCTCCCTTTGCAGCAGAACGGGCTACTCTCGTTACCAGTATTTGCTGGTCAGAAAAAAAATTCGAGCACTAAATTGCCGCATTGAGAAAAATAATACATTTTTGTAATATTAAACGTTCGTTTGTTGAAGTACTAATTCGTAACGTGTTTCTTTACATTTATATACGCCCGCCAAAGTGCAGCTACTCTCCACACCGTGCTTTGCGAGTCGGGCCAGACCACACCATTTAAAATTATTTCGTCTGTGCATGCGTTTGTTGCCGTCACCGTGTTTGCGTTTGCCCCTGTGAGGAATGACTGACCGCACTGCATCATCGTCGCCTGCTTCGACGGCTGCAGGAATAGGTAATCTGGCCCGACCTAATCCAAGAATAACTTACGAGCTATAAAAACAGCTAGTCGTCGAGTACGACGCAACTGTAAACAAACATAGCGTTAGGCACAAGTTGGCCAGCATCACTGCCAGCATCGCAACATTTAGCGAATTTGTTTTCACTTGAAATAATTTTTAATGCTTTCTTCACTTCAGCCTTACTTAATATTGAGTTCTTGTAAACACTGCATAACGAAAATGCACAAAAAAGCAGCTAGAGATGAAACCAGGATACTTCTGCGAAAATAAAACAGCGCCGGCTGTGCCCCCTCACGGCAACTATTACAACCTTGTCATTGCCGTGTGATACTGTCACAACTCCACCTCCATCGAACTCCCAGGGGAGATTCACGTTGACGGAGTTTAAAAAAGTTCGGTAGCGGCCGTGTGACAGGGGCATGGTTGACTACGGTCCACTGGCACTAAGTTAGATTAGTTTGAAATCGCTAAGCTTCCTGAGAAAACCACTACTCCCACGTGGTTGACAATTTATCTTTTTTCCCCACCCAAAGTATTTCCAGCGAAGTGATGTCAGTGAGCTTGAGAAACAAGGCAATGAGAGGCTGTCACCTGCATCGAGAAACCTGACGATGCGATCGGACTTTTCCACGTCTATGCTGATGGCGTCCACCCATCCACCTTCATGAAGCTTGAGGAAGGCATCCAGGCGGCGCTTCAGGGCATTCATCTGCTCCGTCTTGCGCTTGCCACACTCTTCTGGATGGTACTTCGACTTGAACCTTGTTCAGGAACAACGCGCAAAGGTTGTGTTGGACGGAGACAATTGCAGGGGGAGTAGGAATATGAGAGGCATAACACATACGAAATAATTACTGGATGAATAGTACTCATACTAGCTTTGACAACACTTCTTTTATTTGCCCATATTGTCGTCTGGTTCCTGCACTGTTGAGTTGTTTGCCGAGGCAAGGAACATACAGGTATCTTTTAAGCTAGCAGACTAAGTGCAAGGCAAGATGGGCCATAACCCTTATTTGGTTAATAATAATGAATGCCACCAGCTCTCCACCTCTCATATACTACTCTGTGTATAGGAATACATGACTGCCGTCAGCTAACAAAGATAATAAATTATGTAAGAAGTGCAAATATTGAGGCTACAGAGAACAAGAAAGGTCACAAAGGATGATACGACAGCTTGAGGCACAAGAAACTAAGGTCACCCTGAGCCATATTCAATACAAAAGCTTGTTTTGAGGTTAGTCACAAGAGCTCTCACAAACTTGATAAACAATCTGCAACAATGGCCAAGATACATAAAGTGAAGGCGGCAGCAAAAAAAAAAAAAAAAAAAAAAACTGCTGCAGGTTTTTATCTCACCCTTTCCCTTTGCAGTTACGCTCACAATAAATTATGTTCTCGGATACATCGCTGACAATTACTGCACTGAGCTTCAACGACCATGAGCACATCATCTATCCATGTGCGAATGTCAATTGGTGCTTTAGGGCTCCCTCATATGAAGCCATGTGTGAATACTAACATTTTATGCTATACCGCCAGTTTTGTTTAAATTAGGCATTTCTACACGATGCAACATGTTCCCATATGCTGGTGTCAACTGCATGACACATTGCAGTATACCTATACTTTGACTTCCAATACCAAGTCACAATCCTCATTTTTCAATGTTCATAAGTGCCTCAAAAGTTCAACAACACCGACTACACCAAGCTACAGCTCTTAGGTGTTTTTCCATTGTTTTTATCACATATGTGAGTCCATAAGATATCAGCTATCCATTTCCAACACCAAGCACTGAAAGCCTGGCCAATGCAGGCTCAATGTAACGCGATAGTAGGCTACCATCTGGGAATCTTGGTTCTAAACCAGATAACCACTGACCTACAGCATTACAGCTACAAGAGAGCCCCCGCCTAAGTAATGTAGGCTTTCAGGCCAAATGGAACAGTGCAACGGCACATCATACCATGGCGACACCATTTACCTTTCTTCTTGAGCAACAAGCCATTACTTGCAATAAGCCTGCATGTATTAGTGAATACTGTCAGTATTTGAAAGTCAGTTTCCCACAACCAAGCACCTTTTTTGCACATTTTTCGGGTCAGTAGTCTTTCTATGGTGCCAGTCAATCTCTTCAGCATAAGTACAACATTCCTGCAGCTTGACAACTGTGCCATTCAAGTAACCATGTGTTGCCACTGAAGAGGCAATATATTAATCCCAGTTCAAGGGCTTCCTGCTTTAGAATGAATTTATGCCACCCGCTTTTTAATGTCAAACCTGTGTAGAGGTCCCATTAATATGACATACAATTAAATGGGCCCAGCTGCAATCTATACTGACTCTTAACGCTCACATTATAAGAGTACAAGCTTTTGCTTTGTTGACAATTCTAAACAAAAACTGTTAAGAGCTATTATATGGTGCTCATGGTAGCCTGCTCAGAGTGGGTGACCTAATACAGATTTTTATCAAATCACTTTGGCACTTATATCTCGTCACATATGAACAGCAGCTCCAATGGCGCATAATATTTTGCTCATTGTGCCAGCAGTTTTTGTAAACTAAATATACGGCAGAAAGGCGAAGAATAAAGAGAGTTTAACAGTAGCAACCATTCCCTAGAAACAAGTATATGTTACAGCAGAGCGTAGCTTAACTGAAGAGTGGTGAAAGCAAAGTCTGGAGTCTATTTAAACTTTTGGAAAATTTCCAGAGAAAGTACTAACACACTTACAGACTTCCACTTTCCAACAAACATGTAATGTAGCAACCTTATACATATTTTCTGCCAAATATAAGAACAGATGCAACTTGCAGTAACTGGCATATATACCTTCTAAAACATTTTCAATGCGACACGGTATGTTACATGGCTACAAATCTAACTGCTGCATGTAATAACAGCAGCTGTTTGCACTGAACTACTTTCTCAATCAGTCATATAGCAGTTTGAGAAATATATGGAGAAGGAGGAAGAAGGAAGAAGGAAGAAAAAAAGACAGGGAGACAGATGGAACAGTATTGCACTGTTATTCTTGATGTGAGAGTATCTTATAAGTCTAATAAGTGCCCTGACCGTCCAGCGGGAGTTGATAGATTAGAGTTAAATAGCTAGCCTGGTGCCAATCCCTGCTGGCTCTCAAACTCAGTTGAATCATTGGGAGATGCAGAAATGGACAGTCCACTTATAGACTCTTGCACAATACCCACTTTTCCATTTCAATGACGTCTCGTTTTGAACCTTCCTGGGCTCAAGGGAGGCAAAATGCATACATATGAGTCAAGCACACAAGCGAAAGCTTCAAAGCCACTGTGACAAAAGCTGCAATCACACTGTGCACTGGAGCCCACTGCCAGTGCTATCGAAATGCTTACAAGCCAAAAGATTCCGAAGTCGAAGCTTTTATTACTCTCGCATTTACATGTGGGTCTTGACTTCACGATCACCGACTAAGCCGAGATGAAGAAACTCGGTTGTGGGCCAGCAAAAACCTAGGCTGACACATTTAGAAACAACTCTCTTCAAAAATACTGTTCAGTGTTCCTTGTGACAAGAGCTGCCTGGTAAACACACCTTCAGTCAATTCCATTCACACCGACACCAAAGATGCTTGGTCACAATATTCGTTTTTAGTAGCCACCACGAAACGTCACTTAAAGACCACTTCAGAGTTGTGACTCCTACAGTCGAACCTCGCTACAACAAACACCACTTCAACCAAATTTCCACTACAACGAAAAATTCTCGGTTACCCGGAGGGAGTACATAGGAGTTAATGCATAAACATTCTCACCACAACGAACACCTTTTCTTCTGCCATTATGCTTTAATAAAATTTGACGATTCAATTTCACGCTCAAATATTTAATACCGTGCAGTAAACACAACCTTGAACATTTTTTGTACTTTTTTCAGGAAAATAAAAAATACGTTGAAGTACAAAAAGGCACCTTGGCACCACCAAAAACAGCCACTGTTTACTAAACATGGGGCCCACTATTGCTTGATAGCGATGGCAATGAGACTGCCCTGCTTTTGCCACTGGCTCGCTTTTGAGCCACAGGCAATTTGATGGTGAAGCTCAGTTGCTCAGTTCATAGTTTCCTACATACAGCTGCTGGGTGCAATCGTGCCTTTTCTGATGCCAATGCTTTTGTATCTTTTCACACATAGCCGTGTGGACACTGGTCAGACCGGCTCTTTGTCCGTGTTAACAAAATCAGCCAGCCACAACTAGTGGATGATAAGAATAAGGCATTAGTCACCGCTCCACAATGCCATACATTCTTCTCGGTGTGGTCTGATACACGTTGATGGTGGACAACTGCTCGTGTTAGTGTGTCAGTTCAACTGTTAAATTAATTCGCAAAAAGACGTGGCCGTTGTTTCAGCGTGCTTTTCACCAAGGTGTCGCTATGCATTGTTGAGAATCGCGCCACGACAATGCTGGGAAAGAAAAGAAAGCAGCCGACACTTTTGAATTTTAGCAATAAAATTTCTTTTCTTTTGCTAGCTCAGGGCAGCTATATTTTTTACATTTCAATGTAACAAAATATTCACTTCAACGAAACTTTTTCTGTGTCCTGTCAGTTTCGTTGTAGCAGGGTTCTACTGTGCCAGCATTGAGCCTAGGGGTCCATTGAAAAACTACTGTGCTCACAGCATTACAGACATCCTCAGAGTTCTAGCAGAAAGTGCACCTTGTATTCTCGTGTTACAAAAGTGGCTTTGAGGCCTTTCGCTGAGACAGTGCACCTACACACTGTCCATGAGTCTTCCCCATCCAGCATGCGCATAAAAACACAAGCATGAGAGAACAGTGAATGGGCACAAAAGAACGTAGTAAGCAGCAGCCCCTCTTCCCCGTTCTGCATCCCCTGCAACGCACATCAACAAAAATAGGTTCCTCACCTTCTGCAGACAGGGCTTTTTTAGCGTCCGGTTGTGCACACCGGTTGCGTAAATGCCCAAAGCGCAGCCAGCGATGGTGAGTTGCATGCCCTGAACGATCAAAAAGGAAGCTACCGGACATGGGGACGCGCCTGAAAAGCTAGCCTGACCACTGTGTTCGCCTAAGAGCACTGCCTTGTGCACAGCGCACCCTCAACCAGCTAAGTGCAATCGGAGCGCAAAGAGCGCATCCTTCTTTTGGGCTGAAAGGAAGAGCGCCAGGTGACAATGAGACAGGTGGCAATCACATGCAAGAAAATTAAAAGGAAACATTACGTGTAACGAAGGCAACAGTTAGGAAAAAAAAAGTGAAATTAGCCGACTTTTTCCTGCCTTATGTAACAGTTTCTTGAAATATATATATATATATAGATATAAGAGAAAGAGGTGTATACCTAAGGGCTCGTTTTTCCGTGTTTTGACACAATATTAATGAGATCTAACAGATAATAGTGCCAAGAAATGTATAGGGGAAGCTATTAGAACAAACGTAATGTAAATAAGAAGAAAGAAAAGTGGGTGAAAAAATAACCAGCCGTGAGCAGGAATCGAACCTACGACCTTCGAATAACGCGTTCGATGCTATATATATATATATTAGCTGCCTCCTGTCCCTGGTTTTAGAGGTTTTCAAACTCTTGGGCAATTAAAGAACATAGGTTAAAATCTGTAGTTGCAGGCGCAGTTTTTTTTATTTGTGAAGCAGAGATTTCACTGTGAGCCTGACAGTTGATTCAATGGTCACATAGGTGCAAGGAGGAACAACTTCTATATATCAGCTCCGAGTTGTGCCTAGGCTACAAAAATTGGCAGAACGCCTCCTCTATATTCAGAAACAGGATAAGTACACAACTAAACATGCAGGAACGAGTCTTTAAAATATTCCGCTAATTGTGCTTGCTGTGGCAACACTTGTGGAAAAAAATTGAAGACTACATCCAGTAAAGAAATTAGCTTGCCTCTTCCCTACAGTGACATATAACAAGGCAAACTAGGCCACTGCTACAATTACTCATCGGTGGTCACAGGTACACTAGCAGCGGCAACGGGAGACAGGGGACACCTACCACTCCTCCTCCTTGTGATTGACAAAGAACTCGTTAAGCTGCTGACGTCTGAAGTCCATCTTGTACTCATTGTACTTGCGCACTGCTTCCTGGTCATCAATGCTGTCATCCTGAGAGCCCAGGAATTGCTTGAACGTCATCATGGGCGGCTGTGTGAGGCCTGGTTCGGGTTCCCTGCGGTAGCATAAAACAAAGAGTTGCAAAGATTGTTGAACTCGTTTAAAAACCCTATCCACTCATGTCATGGCTACACTTTGGTAACAGCAACACTCTTAAGCCCTTTAAAAAGAAAAAAAGGTCACTGAGGAATAAGACAAAATTTTAGTCATCCATAAACTGCCCCATCACCACGCATGAAGTGCCACAAGCACATACGACAAGCAATAAGCCCAAGCTATTCGGTTTTTTCATAACAGTAGTACCGTATTTACTCGCGTAATCCTCGCACTCGCACAATTCTTGCAACCCCCACATGGCCCAACAAAAATACGATTTCTTTTTTTCCTCGAGTAATTATCGCACCCCCGAAAACTGCTGCAATAATGTCGTCTGCTCTTTCCAGCCACTGATGATGATAGGGCACGTCATCTGGCACCATCTCTTAAGCATCAAGCGTACTATTGCACAAAGATTCAATCCAACTCATGCCAAGCCGAAGTGGCCAGTGCGCGTTGCGGCGTGTTTTGTATGTTGCGTTGGTAACCTTGTCAAGTTATGAGGCGATACTTAAGCTGTACGGCTGCTTTCAAGTTGCAAGTGATAGATAATGCACTAAAGAACGGCAACAGGGCCGCCGGTAGGCCCTTGGGATTGATGGTAAACTTTATTTCTTAAAAAGGAAACTGCAGAAAATTCTGTTAAATAGCCATCAGCCCAATACTGACATCCCACGCTTACCTTTTGAGGGCTCCTGTTGGGCGACGAACGCTACTGCTACGCCCACAACGTTCGCAAGCTTTGCGTATGGTATTCTAATTCTCTACTATTTGTTTCCACTTTTTGTGTCTCAATTAAATCTTGTCTTGTGTTGAACCTCTGCTTTCATTATTGAGGTAAGTTTTAATTAGTACTTCTTAAAGCTTGCTGTTAGTTGTTGGTGTGAGAATCCCGATTTGCGGCCACTTCGTTTTCTTTTTCGCTCTGTACGTTTTCGTAAAACGTTTTCCCCGCGTAATTCTCGCACCCCCAATTTTTCATCGGTTTTCCGGCAAAAAAAAGTGCGAGGATTATGCGAGTGAATACGGTAACTCACTAAAGCTTGACAAAACCTTAAATGTGAAAAACGCCCAGATTTGTTCGACATGTGCAGCCTCAGCACTCCCAAAAAGACAAATGATCTACCGCATGACTGTACAAGGTAAAGCGAATTTCAATATCAATATAATCCTTAAACTGGACTCTTAAAGGGCCAGTAAGAACCTTGCGGTCTAAAATTTCTAATCAAGGAATTACTGCACACTTGTAGAATGTGAACATGCTGCCTCAAGAACTTTGCGAATAAGTGCTGTATAGGCAAGTTAGAGGGCTTAGAGCAACCCGCCTTGGCTGGTTTCATTTTCTCACTCGTCCTTCCCACCTTTTCTTCCAAGCGGCAAAGGGTAAGCGTAGCCCATTGTCATGACTATGCCCACTTCATGAACGTAACGCGATGTGAGCGATACATCATCAGTGCGTAGCCAAGGACCAAGCAGGGCTTCCCTCACGTGAGCACGCATCATAGCAGCGCGGGGAGGAAGCGCAGTTCGAGAAGCATTCTTCCTCGTAACGGTAAAGTAACGAGGCACCTCTTTATCTTGAAGGCCTTCATTCTGGCAAAACTGCTTCTCCCGGTAGTCTAGGGCTCTAGAAAATGGCAGAGTGCAGACCAGGAAAATGAAAATGAGGACTGCGCAGCCAAAACTGCATCACTGCATGGCCAAGGCACGATTCCGTAGGGCAAATGATCAATTAACAAGCTCAGAGATGCGTATTGTTGCCCGTGGCCAAGATTTCATCACTGCACATACAAGGAGGATTGGTCAGTCTTAAGGGAAGTGTGCGGGAATCATTTTTCGAAAAAGAGAGCCTGCGTGCTGCACAGTGCTGCAATATTGACAGAATATGATCGCCGTTGCCTACTGTACACATTAGTGAGCTCATTGGGGTGTGTCAGAAAATAAATAAAAAACAACATCGAAGCCTGTTTGCTGGCCCTTTAAGGGGGTACGGTAGAGTAAACAGTATGTCCTGGTTTCAGATTTATATTAATGGAATCGTACCATATTGTGTTGTGAAAATTTTACGTACTCAATAATAGAGCATGCGGCCTTCAGTCTACAATTTTGACTTTGTAGCATTTCTTACTTGCTTCTGGTTTAGTACCGAATTTTATACTGGTGCACAAAATTAAATGCAATTTTCTGAAAAACCAAAAGTGGTATGACCGTAAAATTCGGCACCCTTATTCGATATGATTTTGGTATTAATCCGAACCTATGAAGAACAGGCTCCCATATATACCTCACAAGAAAAAAAATATTCTCACTTGTCACGCACTGTGAGGGAGACTTGGAAATTAATAAATTTTCTTTCTCCATCACAACATGAATAATTTTTCAAAATCTTTGGTTCAGACTATTTTGGAAAGAATTTAGGTGTAGTTTGAGCACAATCAGTCAGATTGTTTTCAAGAAAAGGTACATCAGGTATGTGTGACGAGGTTTATTAGTCGATAACGACAACGGCAAGACAGCGTGAAGAACCGTCCAGCACAGCAGCGAGCCGAAGCACGAGCCGAGAGAGCCGGGCGTTGGCGATGCTGCTCGCCGCAGGCACATCATCTTCTTCACAATCGCCCCCGCTAAAGAAGGCGCCATCCTGGCGACTTAAGAAGTTTCAGGCAGAGGCTCATGGTATGGTTTCAGTCGGGAAACATGGACGATGTCACGTGCGCGCCGCCGCATGTCGTCCGATCTGGAAAGTGGCTCAATTAAGAAATTGACTGGAGAGGTTTTCTCCAAAACGGTGTAAGGCCCCTCGTACCGGGGGACAAGTTTCAAGGAGAGTCTTGGTGTTTGGTGTGGAATCGCGAGCCACACAAGAGACCCTGGGACATAGCTGGGATCTGAAAAGGCGGTGCTACGGTGTTCTTTCTGGCGTTGCTGCGCTCTTGAGGTGAACGCACGGGTGAGCTGGCGGCACTCTTCGGCTTGTCGAGAAGCATCGGAGACAGGTGGGCACTCGGAAGCATCAGGACGGTAGGGTAGTAGGGTGTCGATTGTATGGGAAGGCTAGCGTCCATAGAGAAGAAAGAAGGATGAGAATCCCATGGTGGTTTGAACTGCAGTGTTATATGCGAATGTGATGCATGGGAGAACACGGTCCCAGTTGCTATGATCAGATGCCACGTACATTGAGAGCATATCACCCAGCGTGCGGTTGAACCGTTCCGTTAGCCCGCTAGTTTGCGGGTGGTATGCTGTCGTTTTCTGATGAATGACGTGGCATTCCGAAAGCAGAGTTTCGACGACCTCGGAGAGGAAAGCGCGGCCTCTGTCACTAAGGAGCTCTCGAGGTGGACCATGTCGAAGGATAAAGCGACGTAAAATGAAAGAGGCGACATCCTGAGCAGTAGCGCTCGGCAAAGCGTCTGTTTCGGCGTAGCGTGTTAGATGGTCGACCGCCACTATAATCCACCGATTACCATTTGATGTCAATGGAAGGGGGCCGTAGAGGTCAACACTGACGCGATCAAATGGCTTAGCAGGGCATGGAAGTGGCTGCAATGCGCCAGTAGCACGTGGCAGTGTTGGTTTGCGTCGCTGGCAGTCAGGACAGCACTGCACGAATTTGCGTACAAAATTGTACATGCCGCGCCAGTAATAGCGATGGCAAAGGCGTTCATATGTTTTGAACACTTCGGCGTGGCCGTGAAGAGAGGCACTTAATTGCGATCGTAAAGTGCATGGAATGACCAGCAGCCACCAACGGCCATCGGGAGCGTAGTTGCGTCGATGAAGGAGTTGATCGCGGATGGCGCAATGGAAAGCTTGACGTCGGAGGGATCGAGATACTGGAAGTTGGGCGTGCCAGATAGATATTCGATGAGAGATGCGATCCACGGGTCACGACGTTGTTCGGTGGCAATCGAGTCGAGATTTAGCGATGACAAGGTCTCGAGGCGAGTGTTTCCGCATGTCGGATCTGGTGATAAAGGTGAGCGGGACAGGGCATCAGCGTCAGAGTGCGTACGCAGCGGTATACGACGCGAATGTCGTACTCCTGGATGCGGAGTGCCCATCGCGCAAAGCGGCCAGAAGGGTCCTTCAAGGTGGAGAGCCAGCAAAGCGCGTGGTGATCAGTTACTAGATCGAACGGGCGGCCGTATAAGTATGGCCGGAATTTTCCAAGCGCCCACACCAGAGCCAAACACTCTTTTTCTGTCATGCTGTAATTAGTTTCGGCTTTCGTCAGAGTGCGGCTAGCGTAGGCTACAACGTATTCTGAATAGCCAAGCTTTCGTTGAGCCAGGACAGCGCCTAGCCCGACGCCGCTGGCGTCGGTGTGCACTTTGGTAGGAGCCGTCGGGTCGAAGTGGCGAAGAATAATAGGTGGGGAGGTGAGCAGACGGCGTAGAAGGCAACGTCACATGCAGGGGACCAGGAGGAGAGGTTCACGTCACCGCGAAGAAGCTGGGTTAATGGTGACATGATAGATGCAAAATTGCTAACAAAGCGCCGGAAATACGAGCATAGACCTACAAAACTGCGAAGTTCTTTTATGGTCGTCGGCTTGGGAAATTCTGCGACTGCTCGAAGTTTTGCCGGGTCAGGTAATACGCCATGTTTGGACACGATGTGGCCTAGTATGACGAGCTCGCGTGCAGCGAAGCGGCATTTTTTCAGGTTAAGCTGCAGGCCAGCGTTGGTCAGGCAAGTCAAAACGTGCCTGAGGCGAAGGAGGTGCGTAGGAAAATCATGGGAGAAAACCACGACATCGCCGAGGTAACAGAGGCACATATTCCACTTGAGGCCACGTAGCGTATTATCCATAAGACGTTCAAACGTGGCAGGCGCGTTACAAAGCCCAAAGGGCATGACGTTAAACTCGTATAGTCCGTTTAGTGTAATAAATGCCGTTTTTTGGCGATCGGCTTCAGCCATTGGGACTTGCCAATAGCCAGACCGCAAATCTAG